TGTATATGCGGTCACAGCTGGTCTGTTTTACATCTACTTACCTTTGTATTTTAAAATATTGTATATTTCTATATTTACTTGTCATTTTTTGTTTGTAATTTCATGCTGATTTTAAACTGATTTTTACATTTTTCTTGTTAATTCTAATAATTACTTTGTGTTTAAAGGGATTTTCTATATGTTACTCTGTAAGCGCCCTGGAGCATTGTTTTTTCGATGGATTGGGCGCTATATAAATCTTTGCTTATTTGCTTATTATTATATTACCAACATGTAGGGATAATAATGAAGCAAAAGCTTTTAAGCTGATCCCTAAACATACAGAAATAATACAAAGCTATCAAACACAAGTACATTACCTACATGGAACACAAGACACTACGTAAAGCGAGAGCAGACAGGGTTACATTAATGATTGTATAAAAACAAAACCACTGGAACCATCAATATTGGGGAAGCTTTTGATGTTCAACATACAGGGTGTCCTGAAAATAACGGTGCATGTAAACTCCGCCATTTTCGCCAATTTGCAACGGGAATTGGCTACAAATGGTTACACGATCTTCAAGGTTACAGATCAATATAGGGTTTTGTTCTTATGTTGAAACAATTCAATAGTACTGACACTTCAATGATATAGTTCAATTAAATATAAATAAATACATGTATTGCATACTCTGCTTAAAAATGTTTTAGACTAGGACTCTACTGATGTTAACTGCTTCACAGAAAGTGGCAGAAAATGGGTTTCTTGGCTTTGCCGTTATTCAAACATATCTTTGAATTTACAAAAGCAATCTCAATGAAACAAACGGTACTCTCAAGCTAAATCTATTACCTTGAAGATGGTGTAAACATGTGCAGAAAATTTTGCTGGTAAATTAGCAAAAATGGAGGGGTTTACATGCACCATTTTTTTCAGGACGCCCTATATATATGTGCCCATTTAGCAACAAGGGGTGCTACACAAGACACTACGTAAAGCGAGACCAGACAGGGTTACATTAATGATTGTATAAAAACAAAACCACTGGAACCATCAATATTGGGGAAGCTTTTGATGTTCAACATACAGGGTGTCCTGAAAATAACGGTGCATGTAAACTCCGCCATTTTCGCCAATTTGCAACGGGAATTTGCTACAAATGGTTACACGATCTTCAAGGTTACAGATCAATATAGGGTTTTGTTCTTATGTTGAAACAATTCAATAGTACTGACACTTCAATGAAATAGTTCAATTAAATATAAATAAATACATGTTTTGCATACTCTGCTTAAAAATGTTTTAGACTAGGACTCTACTGATGTTAACTGCTTCACAGAAAGTGGCAGAAAATGGGTTTCTTGGCTTTGCCGTTATTCAAACATATCTTTGAATTTACAAAAGCAATCTCAATGAAACAAACGGTACTCTCAAGCTAAATCTATTACCTTGAAGATGGTGTAAACATGTGCAGAAAATTTTGCTGGTAAATTAGCAAAAATGGAGGGGTTTACATGCACCATTTTTTCAGGACGCCCTATATATATGTGCCCATTTAGCAACAAGGGGTGCCACAGTCATACTTAATCTGTCTTGACCTGAAAATTATATAATTAGTTTTCAAGAGATTTATAGATAATATTTGATGAGAACCAATCGGTTATTTTTGTAAGCTCCATATATTAAGTAGATGGACATACTGACATTTGAACATTTACTTCATTTCGGTATTTTTTTTACAACAATGGGCCTAAATAATAATATTAATAGTATGTATCAAATAAGAAGACTTTTGATGTTCTACATACAGGGTGTCCTGAAAATAATGGTGCATGTAAACCCCGCCATTTTCGCCACACAATGCAAAAATGAAGAAGAGTTATTACAGATCACCAAAATATTATTAACAAAGCTACAAAATAATTATTAACAACATTTTTAAAAAAGCTACAAAATAATTCCTACACATGCCTTGTTGCTATGTGTTGATGGCGTTATGAGGACTTTTTTGGAAAAATAAGTTGCCAACCACGGCTTCAATTTATGCGCTTACGGCAGCCCATACAAAATGGCGCCAATGTTTACAAAATGTACAAACATAAGAAAGGTCTATTGCAAAGAAAATGCGGAAGAAATAAATATGAATAATTAGGAGCAGTTTTTGAAAAAAAAGCCAGTTTTCTCCAACGCTGGAGAAATACAAGTTTTCTTAAAAAGGTTGGCGAACCAGGAGCCTCGATTTTACAGGATGCTTTGAACTGTCATTCCCTAACAATCCAGTTAGATATTGTGTGATGATTTGATCATTTCGTTTTTTAATGCTTGCCAATGTTGTACAGGGCGAGTCCAAAAAACCAGAACCCAAACCCCAAATATTATATTTCATATTTAAAAAAATATGTAGCACCAAAAATAACAATGAATGGAAAGCCAATTTCATAAGCTACTTTTAGAAAAAAATAATTCCGAAATTGCTAAATCCGTTATCATATCACCTTTTAAACACAATGACCCTGAAACCTCTTTCGTCCAAAAAAAATGCGATTTCAAGAATCGTCATCATAATTGTCTTCAAACATCACCAGCGATTAAACCTCAGTTTAAAAATTAATAATATTCAAAAAGTCCTTTTGAAGGCCCATCTTTTTAAAAAAAAGAGAGGAGATTTTATAAATCATACTGTTTGCCTAACCAGGGTAGTAAATACAGATATTGTGTATTTCAGTTGTTGACAGTTGTGGAAACAAGTATTCTGTGTCATTTTCTTTGGTGTTCCAAACAGTCAGAATACACAATCAATTTTAATTTTGTGTGTGTGTGTGTGGACGAAACAGGTTTTAGGGTCATTGCGCTTAAATGGTGATATTATTTGAACGGATTGACCAAATTCAGTAGCAAAAGTTTTCATGTAAAAGTAGCTTATGAAATTGGCTTTCCAGTCATTATTATTTTTGGTGCTACATATTTTTGTAAATATGAAATATAAATTTGGGGGTTTGGGTTCTGTTTTTTGTACTCACCCTGTATCTTCCCTTTTATGGGCGTTACACGGTGCAGCCAGCCAGCCAACAATCTATGTATAAGATGATTTTTTTTTGAAATGAAACAGTGCTCTGCCTTGGCACTTTATTTACAGCGAATACCAAAAAGTCATTTTATAGATACTTTACAATTTTATTTTGCAAAACGCTAAGTGTTACATTTTTTTGGACTGCTTTGATCTACCCACGGTCCCACAGTTGCCTGTAACTTAAAATATGAGACCTGTACCCACAAAACCCGGACAAAGTTGCAGAAATTGTTTTGGCATGTGCATGTGAAGTCATTTTGGGTGGGAACTGACCATTTTGAGGTTTTGAACAATTCTGAATCAGTAACTGTAAATTTACAACCTCCCAAAATATGCATGTAATACAAGTGGGTGTATTTGGTCGAGTTTGTGAAGATAACAAATGTCTAGAAATCTATACAAAACAGCATTGTCATGCGTTCATTGGAACAATGCATGTAAAATTCCATTGTTCCAGGGTTTGTAGTACACGTTGAAACTTATAATAGAGGTCAAAGTTCACTATTTGCTGTGTATGAAACATGGATCCTTACTTGAGCTTGCTGACTAGTCTTGTTGACAGGATGATTGACTAATTCATGCCCTGTTGGTATGGCATTTTCCAAGGCATACTTCCAGGGCCATTTTTATATAGCTTGTAATTCACATTACAATATATGGGTAAAAAAAAATCGCTATTTGCTGTCAACAGTTCAACTCTGGTTATTATACAGGGGCTATCATAACTTTATTTGGCTATGAATTGAAAGAGGAACTTGAGAAATATTAATATTTTTGACCCACTATTCTTGGAGTACTTAAATATTACGTAATACATACTGCAAAATATTTTTACATATGGGTAGTTATCAGAGATGCCACCAATATATCAATAAAAAGCCTGAAACATTACTAAAAAACCTGAAACTACCCTTACCCCCTTTCAAAAATGTGTTTTCTGGATGTTTCAGACCAAATCCAGCACACTTAATCTATCAGATTTTTTGTAAAAAAAAAATGAATTCAGGTTAAAACCTTAAAAGTGGCATCTCTGAGTTATTGGGTATTGCTATCACGAGACACTGAGCAGAGCACACTGTTCAAAACGTCGAGTTAAAACAACTGGTTCTTCTCAGAATGACACAACTCAAAAGAGATATTCACATGGTGTTACCGCAAACCTTCTGTTCTTTGTTCATGTGCTAAAACTTACGTCGACAGTTCAGGCTGGTCCCATAGATATGTAAAATACCAAATTTGTAAAATCATATTTTTGACTTAAAATTTGACTTTTTGACCAAAATAAGCCAAAAAACACACTCCTACCACTTAAACATCATGCCCAATCTGAAAGTAAAAATATTAAGCTTTCTAACGATGTATGATGTAGGTGTGTGTAGGGTGGGGCGATTAAGTCGACCAAAATGTGGATTCCGCCGCTCGCCTATATGGGTAGTTCTTGGGTATCAACATCATGAGACATCAAGCAGAGCACACTGTTTGAAACGTTCAGTTAAACAACTGGTTCAAGTCAAAAGTGATATTATTCACATGGTGATACCAAAAACCTTCTGTTCTTTGTTCATGTCTGCCACCCAAACCTACATGTCGCATTTACATGTACATGTATATAGCTTGCAGAAGCCAAATTCGCAAAAATCCTAGTTTGGAAAAAGCCTTAGTCGGGTTCCATGTTCATGCCAACAACCACATTCTGGTATTGACATAGTCTGGTACCGACATGAGCCGGGCCATATCATAGGTCCGACGCCTCATAGGTCCTAAATTTCGGACTTCTGAGGACTTATGAGGCATAAAATTTATTTATTCCGCCTCATAGATCCGACGCCTCATAAGTCCGACACCTTATAAGTCCGACAACGGAATAACAAGGCGCTTAATATGTCGGACCTACGAGGCGTCGGACTTATGAGGCGTCGGACCTATGAGGAGTCGGACTTATGGGCCTTTATTTGTTAAGGGGATGCGATTTTGTCAGACTTATGAAGCGTCGGACCTATGAGGCGTCGGACTTATGAGCAGACCCCACATGAGCCACTAGATGCCCAACTGCCTCAGTCTAGTCACGGCCACCGTCCATTTGTCCAGCCACTGTTGCAGTGCGAGGTCGTCCAGTTTGACCCAAGGAGTGAGAAGCTGTGCTGGCTGCTCCCACCTGTCAATAATATCAATACATTACGACTAGTAATCAGGTTTTATTAAGCATGCACAAAAACCTGAAATAGTTTACCCATTACTATTGGTTGAGAGCTCATGATTGGTTTTAAACGGTTAATAAAACATTGACTTTTTTTTTATGTTTCACAAAACATCAGTAAACTTGTTGAACAAAATCGTTTGTTATGTATAATTTTTGACTTGTTTTGACTTTTTGACCGAAAGGTATTTTATGAATAGGAATATATATGTGCTTGGCTGCTATTAAACAAGTACAGTAAACTCCGGCTAAGTCGGCACTCTCGGGACCCGAGAATTTGTGACGACTTTACGCGAATGCCGACATCTGCTGTAAGTCGTCATTTTGCCAACTTACATGAATGGTCTTTTGCACACATGATTCATTGCACTAATTGGCTTCGATTTACCCTGGTTTATCTCCTTAATGCTTGAGTTGATTCCAGCAAATTAATCCTCGAATTTTATCATCACGTTAGTGGTATTGATAGTGGACGGGCCACGTGCACAAAATAGTAATACATACGTGCACAGTTACGAATTAAATACGTGCGTGGTAAACCACGCACGCATTGACTGTATCATTGCAGGTATTGACTGCATCATTCAATAAGACGACCCCCAAAATGGACAGAGCGCAAGCGTACAGGCCTAGAGGGGGTACTGGTATGATATGCTCACGATGCAGACAGTAGTGGGAAACCCCTTGGCTTGGCTGTGCAGCAACGCAGTGACACCAATGCAGTGATCAAGGGCCGTGCCAACCACTTTTCACTCGACCATTTTTGCCAACCGCAGTGCAGCATGGAGGTAGGAAGTCGATGCCAATGCGTGATTTTTAACTCTTTCAGTGCCCGCGACATTTCAAAAGTTTAACCCTATTGTGCCCAACTTCAAGCCTTTTTGCTAATTATTCAAAATTCTGTAAAGAAAGTAAATAAGTTGTAATCACCAAACTTGTTGTATCTTGCTCTCTGGAATATTCTTGTTACCTTCAAAAGTCAATAGTAGTCACGCACCTAGTGATATACCCTGAAACACTCTCCTGAACACAGGGGAATTCCGCACTTTTTGCAGAATATACGTGTGTCGCGTCTGATACCCCTCCTCATACAAACTCTGTTCATTATCATCAATATCGTCATGATTGTCACTACTGACACTAACGTAAGCACCATCATTATCATTTGTATCGGTATCCCCATTTTCGTCCTCTGACTCACCATCCTGTTCTTAAATATTCAAAGATGATTCTGAATCAGAAAAGTAATCCCTTTCACTGTCTGAATGAGCAAAGATTTCATTGATTTCCTCTGGAAATAACACGCGAGCTCGTTTTCTGGGCGTCGCCATTTTGTCAACAAGTCGAAACCTAGAGACGGGCTGTCAGTGTTGCGCCCTCTCGCAAGAACTCGAATAAAAAATAAATACAGGTCGTCGATGCATGAAAATGGTACCATTACAAAGAGCAAGAGTGCCCCCTTTTGATAACATGTTTACTCTACCTCATACATGTATGAGGTTTGGCGAGTTTAGTCACGAACATTACCTCGTACATGTACGAGATTGGTGCTTTAGTACTAACAAATATACCTCCTACATGTACGAGTTTGGCACTGAAAGAGTTAAATGCCAACTTACACAAAGGATTTTGTTATGCTTTTTATGGAAAGGGGACCGTAACACAAAAACTTGAGCGAAATGGCGACTTGTAAAAGCTGACTTTGAAATAAAAAACTCAGTGGAAATGCATTTCAGACAATTGGGACTTTAGTCAGACGGCCGACTTGAGTGATTTGATGAGTTGCACGATGTCGACTTGGCCGGAGTTTACTGTACATTGCTCCTTGCTTCGTACGTACGTACGTACATGTACATGCATGACTTTCTGTGATCAATACCACAGCCTGTAATCAACCATGGATGTAGAAATAAACCAGGGTAAATCAAAGCCTTTGAATTTTAGCCATTAATCTTGTTTGCATGATCCAGATACAGATGCGCATAGGCCATTAACTCAATCTATTTTTTTCACTCCGTGATTCAATTTGTGTATTTGTGTAAGTCGGCAAAATGACGACTTGCAGCAGAAGCCGACATTCGCGTAAGCCGTCACAAATTCTCTGGTCCCGAGAGTGCCGTCTTAGCCGGAGTTTACTGTATATGAAAAAGAACCCGATGACAAAATGTCTTCTTTTTCTTACCAAGCTGAAAGTGCATCCTTCACAGAAATGCAGGAGGCAAGCGCGTCCGTAGACTCATTGAGTCTGGTCTGTAGAACAGGCAGGACTTGCCTCAGCAGCTCCTCATCGTGAGCGCTGACTTCTGAGGTGAGGGCTGCAGATACAAAGACAGAAACTATGATCATTGTTTGTACCTAATATACACTGCACAGGAACAGATGAACCGTAGAATGTCCTTAAAAAGTGGGAACAATGTTCTGTTCAATTCGGCCGACAGTGGAATTTATGCAGACATTAAATATTAGGCTTTGCCCTTCACCGATGTATTTTAAAACACTGTATATAATAGTGTTGTCTTGAGTGATTGTGAGAAAAATATCACTTGGGTGGGACTCAAAGAATGCCAGACAACTCAACCGTTGAGATAACTCAACTCGAGACAGTTCGACCGTTGAGACAACTCGACCGTTGAGACAACTCAACTCGAGACAACTCGACCGTTGAGACAACTCGACCGTTGGGACAACTCGACCGTTGGGGCAACTCGACCGTTGAGACAGCTCGACCGTTGAGACAACTCAACCGTTGGGACAACTCGACCGTTGAGACAACTCAACTCGAGACAACTCGACCATTGAGACAACTCGACCGTTGAGACAACTCAACCATTGAGACAACTCAACCATTGAGACAACTCGACCGTTGGGACAACTCGACCGTTGAGACAACTCAACCGTTGGGACAACTAGACCGTTGAGACAACTCGACCGTTGAGACAACTCGACCGTTGAGACAACTCGACCGTTGAGACAACTCGACCGTTGAGACAACTCGACCATTGGGACAACTCGACCATTGGGACAACTAGACCGTTGAGACAACTCGACCGTTGAGACAACTCGACCGTTGAGACAACTCGACCGTTGAGACAACTCGACCGTTGAGACAACTCGACCATTGGGACAACTCGACCATTGGGACAACTCGACCGTTGAGACAACTCGACCGTTGAGACAACGCAACCATTGAGACAACTCGACCGTTAAGACAAGTCGATTCGGGACAACTCAACTGTTTCTACAACGCAATCATTGAGAAAAAAATCACTTGGGTGGGACTCAAAGAATGTCAGACAACTCGACCGTTGAGACAACTCAACTCGAGACAGCTCGACCGTGGAGACAACTCAACCGTTGGGACAACTCCACCGTTGGGACAACTCGACCGTTGAGACAACTCAACTCGAGACAACTCGACCATTGAGACAACTCGACCGTTGAGACAACTCAACCATTGAGACAACTCGACCGTTGGGACAACTCGACCGTTGGGACAACTCGACCGTTGAGACAACGCAACCGTTGAAACAACTCGACCGTTAAGACAAGTCGATTCGGGACAACTCAACTGTTTCTACAACGCAATCATTGAGAAAAAAATCACTTGGGTGGGACTCAAAGAATGTCAAACAACTCGACCGTTGAGACAACTCAACTCGAGACAGCTCGACCGTGGAGACAACTCAACCGTTGGGACAACTCCACCGTTGGGACAACTCGACCGTTGAGACAACTCAACTCGAGACAACTCGACCATTGAGACAACTCGACCGTTGAGACAACTCAACCATTGAGACAACTCGACCGTTGGGACAACTCGACCGTTGAGACAACGCAACCGTTGAAACAACTCGACCGTTAAGACAAGTCGATTCGGGACAACTCAACTGTTTCTACAACGCAATCATTACCCAAAACCTACCCAATCTCGTATGTCCGCCCATCCCATGTGCCAATGAATGGGACAGCGCCATCATTTTCCTAAACTAAAAGAAGCCAACCCCGTCCAGCTACACCAGCCCCATTAACCCGGCCCAATCCGACCAAGCCAAGCAGGCTTCCCCCAACCCGTACCCCACCACCCGTGGCCGGCAAGGCAACAAAATCCCCACGGCCAAAAAAAACAACAAAACCTCGGCGTCTCCCCATCCTGTACTCGACCACCTGATCCAAACACGACAAAAAATCCCCGGTAGGGCCGTCCATGAATATTCCCCGAAAAATTGCGAGTAGACTTTTCTCAATGGGCGACTTATCTCAAAGGACGACTTGTCTTTCCATTTAACGCACATACGGTCGACTCAAACCCAATCACAAGGGACAACACTGTTTATGCAACACTGTTTATGTTTATTTTAATACGTCGGTGAAGGGCAAACCCCAATATTGAAATTACATCACCCCAACGCAAATTCCATCTTATGAATACTATGCAGACATGCTGACGTTAACGACTCTAAACTGCCAGGATTCACACAATTCTGTATCATAACTCAAGTCACTAGGTTTTGCAGATTGTGTGCATTGTCCTCGGGCACTTTATCGATGAAAGATCTCTGCATACATGTAACATCTTACGTTTTTCCCCCCATCTTTTCTTGTTTGTCTCTTATGTAGACCCGTTATGTAGCACCTTATAAGTGTATACAAGGTGCTGTGGCGCATATTGCAGCCACTGCCAGAAACACCGGGGCAAACCCCTTCTTTTAGCGATAAGTGTTACTGGGTTCTCTAACGCACATTACACAACACACGGGACCTACGGCTTTACGTCCCATCCGAAGGACAAAGCAATAATGGTAATGTGCTTTGCTCAAGAGAAAAAGCACCATGTTCCCACGGTCAGGATTCGAACCCATGTACCACGGCACACGAGTCGAACACCCTAACCATTGGACCACAGCACCCCACAGTGCAGAATACAGCTTTGCACTCACCTGATACATGCTGGATGGCCGTCAGGTCATCGCTGTGGGTCTCTGCCATGGAAGCATGGAGTAGATGCTGTGAGTCTAGTAGCGTCTGCACCGCTGCTATTTCACATTTCAGCTGGACGGCGAACGGCAGCAGATTCTCTGGAGCCTGTATGTAAAATGATGGAAGAAACGATCGTGAGCTTGCGGTTGAAAGAATATTTTCATTGAAGACGGATGAACACTTTACTGTGCACAGATGCAAGACGTTGTGTCCAGTGGATAATTTCAAATCTAAGTGGAGTGCCTTGTTGTCTGGTGCATAACGGTAGAACATTATTGCTTCTCCTCACCCAGGAGTAAAATTGGCTGAGAGTTTGAATTATCCAATTTCACCTACAGCAAACTCCGGCCAAGTCATCATATTGTAAGTCATATCATAAGTCGTATAACTCGTCATATCGCTTAAACCGGCCGTCTGACGAAAGTCCTGATCGTCACTAATGCAGTTCCATCGAAATTTTCATTCCTAAGTCGGCCTTTGTAAGTCACCATTTGGCCTATGTCGGTGTGTTACTTTCGGTCCCATTTCCTCACAACCACAAAAATTCCTCTGTATAAGTCGGCATCCAAAAAAATAATCCGCACCCCTGCCACGTGCATGATCGAAAAGGGGTTTCCCCAATACTGTGAGCACATCAATACAAACTACCCCCTCAAGTCCTGCAACGCATGCGCTCTGTCCATTTTGGGGGTCCCCTTATTGAATTCACAATACTCAAAACCGGTACCCCCTCTAGGCTCTAGTCCTGCACGCATGCGCTCTGTCCATTTTGGGGGTCCCCTTATTAAATTAAGATTACTCAAAACCAGTACCCCCTCTAGGCTCTAGTCCTGCACGCATGCGCTTTGTACATTTTGTGGGTCCCCTTTTTTAATGAACTTTACCACGCACGGCTGTGGTAAAGTGCGTACCGTACGCACGCATTAATTCGTAACTGTTCACGTACACATTTGCATATGTTTGTATGCAAACATTCACGTTCTGCAGCACAGTGTTAATGCTGGCCGGCCATCCTTACTTTGTACGCGTACAGGCATGACTTTCTGTGATCAATACCCCAGCCTGTATACGACAATAAACACTGTGGATAAATTTGCTGGAATCAACCATGGATGTAAAAATAAACCAGGGTATATTCAAGCCTGTGATCCCATAATGAGAGATTGTTTGTTGTATTGATCCAGATATAGATGTGCATAGGCCATTCAATGTATTTTTTTACTCCATGATTCAATTTATGTATATCATAAGATTTGAAGGTGTTATTTGTAGGCTAAATCCTGACTTATAACATCGCGTCATCATTGGAATCCCTCTTTCTCCTGACGACGGGCAGAGCATACTGTTCGAAACGTTGAGTCCCTCCGGTTCTTTTCAGAACCACACAACCTCACAAAAGAGATTTACTCACATGGTGTCACCGCAAACTTATCTTGTCTTATGTATATTAGTTGGCAAAATGACGACTTACAGCAGATGTCGGCATTCGCGTAAGTCGTCACAAATTCTCGGGTCCCGAGAGTGCCGACTTAGCAGGAGTTTACTGTACATGGCAGCATCAAGCTGTGTGTACCTACATGGAGGTGTGATGGTCATTGACCTGATGATCAGGAGTTGAGGTCCAACATTGGAAGTGATGAGCAATTTTTTAATAATTTGTTGTTAGTATTAAGGGAATAAATGTGTGCTCAGGAGGTTTTTATCACTCGTTTAATACCGCTTAGAGTCTGGGTGCTGATAATTACCCGAGCCGGAGGCGAGGGTAATTATCAGCACCCAGACTCTAAGCGGTATTAAACAGAGTGATAAATACCGACCGAGCACATATTTATTCCCATTCATAAATACCTTATCCGTAAAAAAAATCAAATAATTCGTTCAAAAAATCCCGATTTTGTTCAGCAAGTTCACTTCATGCTTTTTGAAACATCCCTCTAGCAAAATAATGGAGTGTTCAGCTGGGGAGTAAGATGTAAACAACCCTTTTATGGAGGTTGACGCGCGCGTAACATGTTCTGCGCGATGTCACGCAGAACACACCTGGGGCGTTGCGTTTTGAATTTAGAACTATAAAATTCTAACTCCCTGGTAGTGTTGCGCATGCCTACGTGAGGATTGTGAACGTTCAACCAATGAAACGGTAAGAGGCACTGGATATTTAGGAGTCCACATTTTATTGTGACACTGGAAAATTGTTTAAGACCCGCTAGCCATGTCTTTATCATCCGTTTAAGACCGGCCACGTGACGGGCTCTCGACCAATAGGAATAGCTAAACTGTCTGAGGTATTTATGAATAAGGGAATAAATATGTGTTTGGTTGGTTTAAACAAGTACGTTTTATAACCAGCTAAGGGGCCTGGTTGTGGATAATGCAGTCCTTCTGATTTGAGGCGTGCGATCACACCCCCACGCCATCGCACGCCTAAAAGCTTCCCGAGAAGTGCGAATAATTGCACGCCTGAATCACTCTGAACCGCACACCTTGCCATAGATTTACGGCATAATTAAACTTATTCATACATAATTTGTGAAAAAAAGTACGTTGGTGAAGAGAAAATGGCTTTACTGTAAAACAAGATGAATATGATAAACAAAAAACCCTGATTTTTAAGTCCCCGCTTGGACTGCAGAATCACACGCTAGAAAAATCACACGTCTACAAAAATCCAAGTGTGCTTTTTTCCACACACCTGTGATTTTCAAATCAGGAGGACTGATAATGGCCAGAGCCAAAGGCCTTTTTGTACAAAAAGTCAAAATAAGTCGAAAATTGACAACATTGCCACGATTTTGTTCAACAAAAAGTTTTACTTCATGTTTTGTAAAACATCCCTATGGCCATGTCTATGGTATGTGCCTGGCGCGCGTAGTGCTAAAAATCTTCTTATATGGACTGCGTAATGTGGCGCAGAATGCAGCAGTGCTGTACCGGCAGTTTAAAACTCAACCTATAGTAATGGGTAAACTGACTAAGGTATTTATGAATAGTTATTTACCTTGTACAGTGGATACCTCAGCAGTTGAAGGACTTCAATGATAGCCCCGCCCCCGCTGCTCTCTGATTGGCTGCTGAATCGGTTGATTGACAGCTGGTTCACTGGAACACTCTGCCCGCTGGATTAGAATCATAATGAAATAATAACACACATTGTTAACGACCTGCAACATTTTTTTCCCGCCCGTTTCGGAAATGGCCTGAGGCGCCCGCCGGACATCACGTTGGCAGCCATGTTTATTGCATGGCCTTATGGGATCCTTAGCCAAGTAATCGGCTCAGCGAGTCGGTTACTTGGGCCAGGCTCGAGTAAGCGCGAGAAGTCACGTGAGAGGTAAATTCGAACGCTGTCGAAATTGCACGAGTAAGCGCGGGGAAAGTAATAGAATGCACTCAATGAACACAACACCAGCAACACACCTGTCCAATGAGGTGAGGCGTAACAGATGCAGCGGCAGCTGGGCGAAACGCTCCACCTCCTCAGCTACCCCGTTCCTCATTTGGGTTGCCATGGCGACAGTGCCCGCCTCATGACTGCACAGCGTGGACTGCATGTACTTCAGATTCTGTCGGAGAATGACAACAAGAAATTGGCAAAGAGAACTGACATTGCAGAAAAGCAAACCTGTTGCTGAACTGAAAAACTGGCAAAGAAATCTAAAATGTTGTGGAAGATAGATGCTCATAACTGCAATTGTCAAAGCAATATTTTGTTCACCTCTCTCTGAAGAACCTCCAGTTTTTTCTTGGCCTCGGAGTTCTGCCGCACCAGCACTCGGATCAGGTCCTGCTTCTTTTCCTTTAAAATGTGAAAAACAAAGAAGACATTCAAATTCAAGTAAATTGAGTATGAGAAGTGATCAAATGTTACATCGAAGAAAAAAAAAATTCAATTCAGTCTTGAAGTTTTATATGTTTTTGTGTAAGTTTTTGTATACAAATTCAATGAGAATCATGGAAATTTATGTCTGAAAACAGATGAATATTAATCACCTGTACACACATTTCATTATTAGTATTTTTTTACATTGCAAATAGCGATCATTAACCCTCCTGCTGTCTGAACAGTCACAGAAAGTCAAAAATTAATCCCCTTTCCCTGCCATGCCTTTTACACAGGCTAGTCACCAACAGTCAGCTGTCAAGCGAGCACTGTGACTAGTCAAAGTCAATCAACAGACAAAAGTAGGCGAACAGTAGGCACAGCTGGCTTATATCAATCACCTACTGTCAAAGCACAACTGTATCAAGTTACAAAAACAGTCACAGCCAGTCAATCCTGCTTTATGTAGGCTGGGAGCTCTTAACTGTTGAAAACAGTCACTTGATTGATTTTGAAAGGACAACTTTGCACAGAATGTACGTTTACATAGAAGGGTTAAAGTTGAAATATGGCATTCAATGCAACGTGACTTTGATTGCCTCTTTTGCAGCCGCTTTTTACTCACAGTCAGCTTCTTGAAGTCTTGAATCTTCTGGTACTTGCTGTACAGACTGTCCTTCTCCTTGGACGCCTTGGAGGCAGACTCCTGGAGCTCCCTGCAGGAATCCCGGAGCTGCTCAAGAGCGGCTGTGGCGGAGACCAACTCCAACTCGGTAGTGAACAAGGTCCTGATAATTTATATTTTTTTCAAACAAGACAACATTAACCTTAAAGGCAGGCATGGTATGCAGTTCAATGAAGGATGATATAGCAGGATTTCTATTTAGTTAATTAAATGTAAGGTGTTCTAACAAAATTGTGAGGCGTTCTAGCAAGATGGAACTGGGCATAGGCTGAAGGGGAGAAAAATGGGGTGATTTTCTTTTTTAATTTTCAAATTTATTGATATTTGTTATCTCTGAAATGTCTACTACACATAGTTTAAAGAAAAAGCAGATTTTTGCAAAATGCTAAATTTTCAAGCCAACCTCTGATATACAGCCAAACGCCACAAATACTGATTTAGGGATTAGCGTGCTTAGCATGTTTTAGGAGGCGAGTCGAGGCAATCTTGACGCCTTAACCCGTCAGCCGTGCCTGTGTATAAAAACAGCCAGTACGTGTTAATTTTATCTCGTCCTCCGACGCGAACTTGTTCAGAAAAATACAATTGGCATCTTGTCAGTATTTTACTTTTTTTGACATGTCGATAAATGAAAACTTTAAACAGCCATAACTTGTTAACAGAATGTCCGATTGACGTGCAACAAACGGTAGTGCAAGGATAATTTTATTCTTTCCTAATACCCGCAAAACCTCATTTCGACCTGTGCCCAGTTCTGTCTGACTTTGCCAGAACGCCTCACAAATCTGACCGAACATTCTAGAAAGGAATCCACACCATAACACTTGACAGATTCTTGTCTTCCAGTTAAAGGTATAGTCCATCATTTCTAATTTGTGCATTTACTTCGTTTGAAGCAACAAAAGTGCTCAAGATCTAAAGAAGGGTGCTGAACAACTAACCTGATGAAGTTTCAGCTCAGCTTCAGCTGTGTATTTCGAGAAAAACAACATTCTAGGATCTCGATTTCAAATCAAAAGTTGCTGAATCATGTCTTGAATTGGGCCTGAACTCAGCGTCCGAGACACGTTCTCACACAGCCGATTGCAGCTACGCGATGTCGCGCACTCATCCGACTAATTATAGCAACCGCGCGTGCGTGTGCGTAGTGCCAATCCTTGCGCGTGCTTCGCCGAATAACAAAACAAACTACTAATTTGAATTTCCTACGGTGCTTCTTAAGAAGCACCGTTGGAAAGGCCTTATTTTGTTGATTTCTTCAAATTGACAGCTTGCCAGAAAGAATAATTTCACAGGGAGTTTAGTCCCCTTACAACCTTTCAACCAAGTATGTTTATCAACAATAATTACGCCAGTTACTTTTTGGATAGCTGCAAATGATGGACTCTGGCTTTAAGGGGTTCATATAGACCTTACCTTGCCATTTCTGAGGCGCCTGGGTTATCAGCTAGCAATGCCGCTAGTCGTCTGTGGACCTGGGAGACTAACTGAGCTAGTCTCTTGTCCAGCCGCCAGGCACTGTTCCTACTCTGCTCTGTGACCATGAATGTGCGCATGTGGGCCAACTGCTTCTCCTACAAAAACAAAAATATTGGACTAAGTCAATTTTGTTTTTTTTTCAAATCCCGATTGAAGTTATTACATAATTAGGAAAGTATGAATTGTATGCAACAATGGACAAGTTTGCGCAAGAACTATTGTTGACCAATGTTTAACTGTAGTTCGACTAAAGTGAGCCCAAACTCTGTCTAGTCGTTGATGGTTGACAACCCTAGTCGACTATTTGGAACCAGCCTACTGGGCCTGGTTACATCGCTGGTTACCAACAGCCGTGTGCATTCATAACGTACAGCAGGGTGCCAGGATCCAGAAGTTTTGCGATGACATTTTGAACGCTGCAGTGCTTGACTAGAGACGTTCGCATGTTGCTATTAGTGCGCAGGCGTAAGGTACGTCACAAATCAACCACTAGTCGACTAAGGCCCAAAAAAAAAAAATGGTGTGTTTACGGTAACGGTCTGAAAAAAACCCAGGTAGGTAGGTAGGGGAATAATTTTATTTTGTAATTTTTTTAAATTTCAATTCTACATGCTCGTGCGTTTTCTTTCCGAAAATATTTCTATAAAAACATTATTCAAGCATTCAAGATATTCAATCGATACATAAATTTTCATTCAAAATTAATTTGTACCGTCCATGCAGAGTTCTCCCCAGGATTTTTTCAAACCTGTGGGGGAAGTTTTGCTGTGATTCAACAACCTGCGAGTACATGTAATATTCAACGAACCCTTCCTTTGAAATTGGTTCAAGCATGCATGAGCCAGCGTGGTGTCTGTACAAATCAGTATGATAACTTCACTGATAGATAAAGGAACCACATTTCATTGTGAAGAAATTAGTTGGCTTGGTGCCGTGGCAAATAATTGAAAGTACTTGAAAATGTTTGAAATTTGTTCATTGAAAATGGTCAATATCAACCTTCCATATGGCAATAAAAAGTTTGAGGTCGGCAATTTGGTCGAAAAAATTCCAGGTCGGTCGGGTTATACCGTAAACACACCATTTTTTTTGTTTGGCCTAATGGTCCTTGCCCGAACATGCTCAATGCTGACAATCACGCACTACTGGAGGGTTGCTCATCAGATGAAGCATCATCCATCATTGATGGTCTTAAAGGGAAAATACAACATTTGCAAACATCAAAAAATAAAACTACCAGATCATTTTGAGATACCTTGCTGGACTGTTAGTGAATGACAGTGTAAAGCATCCTGTAAAATCATGGCAGCTGGTATGCTGTCATTTTCAAGAAAAATGGTATTTTCGTATCAATTTCCAACGCTGATCGGCCGATCAACGTTGGAAAACACTAGCTTTTTTCAAATACTGGCCCCAGTTGACCATCGCACTTGTTTGCAATCGATTACAAACCTATGAACGGGTACGAGCCAGCTAGACTGGTTCCCTGACCTTACAATTCCCCAATGTATGTAAACTGCTCTTATTATATGGAGTCAGGGAACCAGACTACAGGAAAATGATTGTATTTCTTTGTTTTTATAGCATTTTCAAACCCAAAACCTCAAAAAAAGTCAGTGTAACTATATTTGCTATATATTTCCAACCCTCCAATGCCATCCATTTCTGAAAATTACAGTAAAAGCAAATGATGTATATTCCCTTTAAAAGTAACATTCTGATGAGAATTCATTTCAATAAAGGTAAGTTATGAAATACAGTGAAAATTTGATAATTCAAGCCTCAAGGGAACAGGTTCAAAATTTGACTTAAGCAGAGTTTTGAGTTAAGCAGGGTTGTATATCATTGTTATACTACTGAAGGGAATGGATTCTTTGTTTGACTTGACAGTTGTTTTGAGTTATCAGAGTTTGACTTATTGAGATTTCACTGTTACAGTAACTCCATTATGTTTTGAAGTTTTCTGGCCAATTTTCATATGAATACTTCATATATACTTGTACACTTAGAAAAAGTGAGGTGTACTCATAAAATCAACTAAATGTATTTGTTTATTCAAACATTTATTCAATTTCACGTATCTGTATGCATTGTAACGGGGTTCGACTTAAGTAGCCCGCTAGCCAAATGCTAGTCAAAACAGCAGCGGGCTAGTCAAACTATTCCTTAAGTAGCCCGGCTGGCGAGTCAAAAACTTATTGGGATATGGCAAAGATGAAAGGACAGGAAGAAACAAATCATTAAATTCAGAAAGCAAACCTGTATCAATTTGTGTCTGATTGTATTAACTGTTTAGGGTTAAATTATTAGATCTGTTTATTAAAATCGCTGAAAAGATTGCCTCAGGATACACAATACTGCACATTGTTGTTTATGAGACACTCCATAAAAGAAAAACATGCAGGCTGGTGAAAATGCCTGCGGGCTAGTTAGGAGTCTGTTTCAGTAGCCAAGCTGGCTAGTGAACAAAAAGAATTAAGGTCGAACCCTGTTTACCGTACCTCTATGATTTGATGGACACTCAGCATGAGGTCAGGTGCAGTGGCAGCATCTTCCAGTAGACCGCTGCTACCGTGCTGAAACCTGGCAACCAATACACAAAAACATATAGATAAGGAAATCGCCCAACACAATGCAGACTATACTTTTTTGGTCTCATTACCCCTGATATAAAAAGTTCATTTAGTTATTCCTGTTGTGTGAACAGAAAGGAGAGGAGTACTTGTAAAATGTCTTGCTTATTTAAAAGACAAACATCACACCTTTTTAAACCTTGGATGAATTCAAACCATAGAGCAATATTAAATTATAGATATTAAACTCCTCATTCTTACGAGGGGATATACTTTGAAGCCGTCCTGGTCGCAGACATTTTGAACTCATGTGCTTGTTTGTGGAACATAACAAAATTAGCAGGAATTTTGAAAGTGTACTCTAAATGCAACATGCAAGTGAAACATACGCAAACAACTTAAGCGGTTAAAAAAACGTCACGGCAAAAATCATCTGCCAATATGCACACAGGTTTGTGTCTTGTTTGTGCAGAGCAAAATGAAACGCTCATTTACTGATTGTGCATTTTGGTTTTGAGCGTATTGCCTTTGATAACGCACCTGTATAGAATACAAATACAGATATGCAAATAGCCCTACTAAATTTTGAGTTTTCCAGGTTTGTGCACAAAGATGGATGCGCGCAGCAGGCTTCATTTGTACGGCGAGTTAGCACTCTAGTAAGAAAATATAGCTCTATGGAACCTACGCAAAAACAGCAAGGAAACCACCCAACACAATGCAGAGTGGTTAGTCCTTAACTTTTGCCTCATTACCCCTGATAAGTTCATTTAGTTATTCCTGTCATGTGAACAGAAAGGAGTGCTTGTTGTAAACTCTCTTGCTTAAGGACACAGTACATGCTTTTATACCTGGATTGATTCAAGGTGAAAGATCGGAAGACACGGCCGTAAGAGAGATACCAACATGACAATTCAGTATTCGTCGCGATCGTGCAACAAGGTTGTATCTCCTAAAAAGGGCAGTACATGAAATTCAAGTTTCAGAATGTCCAAAGGTCGTATCTCACTTAAAATAACCCGGATCTACACACAAAGTTAATGGACGTCGAGATACGACCTTGTTGCATAGAGCGTATTCATGCGAGTTACGACTTTGTTGCTGAATGGAATTACCACCTTCTTGCACTGACGCGACGTATTGAACTAAAACCACTGTCAGCACTGTCCTTACAACATCACAGATCACAATTCCATCACAAGTCATCTTGTCCTGAGTCAAGTTACAAGCTATTCAAATGATCTTTGACAAATCGTCAGCGACACTACGAACTGACACTCGGTGGTGCGTGAGCGCCCAGCAAGCGCGCGTACTTTACAGAACCGCGTAATTTTTAAGTTTTCACGAACTGACATCCAAGTACTACATTCGAGTACTCTGTACATTTTAGTTTTCACAAACTGAAATTTGTCTCAATTTCACCACTTCAAAAGATTTAACCCTCCGACGCAGAAAGCCCATTTACTAACACACTTACAGTAAGGGGTCCCCCGGGGACCCAAATATTTAGCGCCACGGTTTGAGGTTACACAACACTGTATCCAAATGAACACAATCTTGCCATGTCTGTGGACTAAGGGGTGACTGCTCTATGTTCCGACACCCCTATGTTCCGACAACCTAGATTGTGTTACTCCCGGTTAGGGTTAGGGTTAGGGTTAGGGTTAGGAATATGTGCAGTCGGAACATAGGGGTGTCTGAACAGGTGTGTTGTATACATAGTCTGTGGTCAAGCCGCGCACTGTCTACCCGCAAGTGACCTTGTTTGTGCACGTGTATATGGTGGGTCCCCGGGTGGGCAGAAATTGCGTCGGTCCTTAGCCCAGGTTGTCAGGCTCAGATATGCCTGACCCGGGGTCACACACTAAAGGTGACTGCATATATCCGTAGTGGGTGTCTCTGGCTAGGATTAGATGGAAGATCACCAGAATTGGTTTGAAATTTTTTTTTAATTAAGGTAATCCAAATTGGGTCCCCAAAAGGGCGAGTTTCTGCGTCGGAAATTAAATGTTTCTGTAACCCCACAAGTATACCGATGGAGTAAATTTGCGTCAAACCTTTCAAAGCGTTTTTATCTGAACTATTTTCTGCCACATGCTTGCGTTTTAGTTCAAGAAAACCAAATTATGATATTACACCTCAGTCTAGGAAGTGCGCGCACACAGCTGCATATCAGTTTGTGAAACCAAAATTATTGATTACGCAGTTTTCACAAACAGAAAGCACACAGCGCGTGCGTGTCAGTTTGTGAAAACGGTGACGAATTGTACTCCTCAGTTCTTGATCACACCCTGTTACTTGTGACAGGACTTGTGAACTGATAAGAGATTTACTTGTGACCGAACTTGTGACTGGACTTGTGATGGACTCTCTACTACAGCATTGTAGCAATGAGGCCAATGAAAAGATACAGACCTCAGCTGCTCAGCATCTTTCTTCAGGTCGATGTTGTTTGTGGTCTGTCGTAGCGACAGGGCGGATTCCTCGCCGATGACGGCCAGTGATCGGACAACTTGATCAGCTGGGTGATCTGCCAGCACATGCTCGATGCTCGCCCATATCCTGTTCTGTTTCTCGGTCCTGAGAGGTGATAAGAGGTATTGACACTTGGGTACGAAAATAAACATCTTTAACAGATTAAAATTTTTCAGTATGCGATTAATTTTGAGCCCGAAATCTTGGCTCGTCTATTGTAGTGGGTGGCATTTTATTCATTGAGCCCATATTTAGGCTCATCTTCTCCAGTGGGTGCCATTTTTAGCCCATAGATTGGCATGCAGGGTTGTTTGATTTAAATCATTGTTTCAACTAACAATTTAAATCAGTGGAAAACAAGTGATTAAAAAAATCAAAAGGGCAATTCCACGGTTACTCACGTTACATTTTTGATGTACTTTTGAGTTTCCTTGGGCTGTAATTACCTTACTGAAAAGGTTTAATAACTGTTCGCCCCATGGTAGACCTACCTAAGCACCAAAAATGACATCCAGAAAAATGTATTATGTATGATAAACAAGACGCACAAAATCGGTTACTCACGTTACGAAAATGTAACTGTGGAATTACCCAAAAGCATGTATAAGTTAAAAAAAAAGTACATGATACGCTCGTAGATAAGAGCTTTTAAAGAATTTTAACTCAATTTTTTTATACACTAATGTATCATTCCATCCAGTATGCTCTCCTGGTAGTTGTTCTGGTTGGCTACACTGTTATCAACTTCCCAATGTGTGGTGCAAGCAAACGGTTGGTGAAAAGACCAACAACTCACAAAGCTTTGGAGTCCGAGCCGAAGTCCCCCTTCAGTAGCTGATTGAGGAACGATGCAACCTCTGAGCTCGACTCACGAACAACTTTCTAAGGAAAAAGAAGGAAAATAGTGGTGGGTGGAATCGGAGATTTCAAAATCCAGTTATCCTAATTGTTTTCAAACCAAATAACGTTATCTGATTTCATCGGAAGTTCCCATCCAGCTCACAGTCATACCAACAAAAAGTGACGGGTGAGGTGCCGCATGAAATGCCCTCCCAATGACTGGGTATAGTTTGCAGGATTTACTGCCTATTTGGACTTTACAAAAAAGCAAGTGAATGCAGTTACAATCAGAGACCATGGAGCAAATTTGGGGATGTTCCAGTTGTTTTCTTTAGCCTGTTGTCACAAAACAATTGAACACTTAATTTTAAGGTTGGTTTCGAATATTCGGTATCCAAATTTGAAACCGGATAGTGAAATTCAAACCGAATTAAAAAAAATCTGGATTTAAATCCCACCACTATACTAACAAATACTTACAAAATTGTGGTGCCATTGCATTTTTCGTGGCGGAATAAATTTGAGATTTGTACATTATTTCAAATCCTAGTCCTCATCATATCTGATTGTGTTTCACTTCAAATTTGAAAAGTCCTCTCTTGGATTTTTTTGCAGTGCTGTTTTATACGCTCCTTAGAAAAAAAATAAGGAGCACGGAAGGAACGCCTGCGCGAGCATTCTCCTCAAGAATGACGCCTTCATTGTCACAACTGTGGATCTCAAAGTGTAAAACTCTACCGAAAACTTCTCAAGCAGAAAATGTTCCTCTCTGGCAGTGAATGGGTTAAAATGTTGTGACATTTGCCCAAACCTTACCGTGCATGCAGACTCCAGCCCTGGTGAGGATGTGCCGTTGGTTTGTGATGATCCTTGCTTGCTGAACAACAATGACTGGCCGTGCCCACTATTGGAAAAGAAAAAACCCACAAACAATCAAAAAAACAAGAAGAAGAACTTTTAGAAAAATCAGAAGAACTTTTAGAAAAATGCTTAGCATGAATTTAGGGATGTGAAAGATGTACAAACTTTGTGTTTCAATTTAAACAAAACAATAATTTCTTAAGATGATTGCCTGAAAAGGCTTGAAAAGACACCCTTGGCTTGAAAAGGCAAAATTGTCAAATTTAGGCTGCATCTGATAACACACACACACACAAACAAAACTTGTTCAGTAGTGCCCTCTCAATCGTATTATTACAAATACTGGAACTCCTCTATCTCTAACCCTGCCAGATGCTACAAAGTGCATCAGGTGGAAAAGTCTGGTGCACTTTTTTTGGTTACCTTTTCAGTTCTTTGTAGCGGTTCAGCTTTCCCGCTATGCGTTTTGTGTACTCCTCGTATCTGGCCGTGTTAGCCTTGCACTCGGCAGAATGCGCCCCCAGCAACGTCTGCTTGTGCTGGAGGTCTGATATCTCAGAACAGGACGTCTGGTACTCTTGTTCTGTGAAAAAATACAACATAAAAAAAAAGGAAAAAACAATGAGCAAAACTGTAAGTTCATTACCAAATCAAGCACTATCCTTACAAAGGGGACAGTGTTCGCAAGTTTTAAAGACAACAAAATAAGTTGATTTTTCTAACCCTCATTTCAGACAGGCATTTAAGAGTTGCACCCAAACCAAAATATTTTTAGAGCGACTTGAGTCGACCCCAAAAAGGACTGGTTTCAGACGGGTGACCATTATGTACATACAACACCTGAATAAATCCCCGTCATCTGATCGGTGGATCGTTGATCACTTGTCATTGAATTAATCGTACCAACCCACTGCGCGCGCGTGGCGCGCAGCGCACAGTGCAATGGAAGTTCTATTGCACGCTGAATGGAACTTCCATTGCACGGTGTCACTGCTGCTGGTGGTGGCGCTGTTTTAAATTGAGATAAATTCAATATGATTGTTCTCAACCTGTTGAACAGTTTGCATTAATATAAATAGTTAAACAGTTTTTAACCTGGATAAAGTGGCTATTAAAAGTCAACCAATCAGATGACAATGATTTTTTTCAGGTGTAAAGATATAAAACAAATAATGAATGTTTCACGTTCGTGCGATGGAAAGAATAATTTCATTCGGTGACAGATGAAATGTTCCATTCCACTCGGCTTCGCCTCTCGCCTCTGGAACATTTCATCTGTCACCTCATGAAATTATTCTTACCATTGCATTCACAAACATTCATTATTTGTATACTAATTTTCCATTGACTAGACTGTGAAGTCATTTTGAATGGCTGTATGTCAACAGCCACGATTTTTCACAGTGTCGTTCCTTGTTTTAAACGTCAAATTGAATTCTAAACTTCGGAAAAATTTTGTTTGACATAACTCTGTTATGCTAGGGCTGTGCTGAATAAACCGAAAAAAATTGAATATACGAAGGAATTCTTGCGCCGGGTGGTATAAATCAAATTAGGTTTTGCCCTTCACCGACGCTTTCATATCTATTCTGGTTTTGTTGTATTCCATCACAACTCTAAATCTTCACTAGTTCTCACGAGTCAATCACAAGTCACCCTGTCCCGATTAAGTCAGAAGAAAATGAACAACGACAAAGGCATATTTTTTTTGGTTCCTGTTCATCATCCCTGTCACTCGTTTCCGGATTTACTTGAACTTACTCGGACTTTCTAAATTACTCGTAACAGACTCGACTTTATTCACCTCTTGCAACTACAACACTTCTGTTGCTCTACATGTACATAAATACATCTACTGGTCATAGGATTGAATTTGCATCAGGATGATGTAAATCAATATTAGGTTTTGCCCTTCACCGACGTTTTTAAACACTGTATACTCAGTGTGTTACCTCCCGAGTGAAAGTTGGAAAAAAATCACTCGGGTGGGACTCGAACCCACGACCTCCTGCTTTCTAGTGCAGATGTCTTACCACTCGACCACCGAGCTAACGGGATCGGTTGGCCGGTTCGAATCTGATGTGCATAGCAGCGGGTACCGCATAAACTATCATAAGATGGAATTCTTGCGCCGGGGTGATATAAATCAAATTAGGTTTTGCCCTTCACCGAATTTGATGAATATACGAATATTTGAATATTCGATCATCCATTGAATGCCCAAATACAATTGTTTTCAATTCAAATATTCGAAAAAAAAGTGAGGGATCTTGAGGAGATGATTAAAAAGGTCCACGAGGTTGTTTTTATTTGCATGCTTTGAATTTGTCAACTTTGCCACACTTTTGTTGAAAGCCACTTTACACAGATAATTTGAGGCTTTCATGAGGAATATTCGCTGAAATTTCTTCCTTAAAATCTGTAGACCACCTTGGCGCAGCCTGACGAAGAGAGGAGCAGAGCTCGCCGAGCAGCGTGACAGAGCTGCAGCTGTAAACAAACGCACAGCAAGGAAAGCCAGAGCAGCCAGCACGTCAGCCCAGCCACCCACCGCCCCAAAATGCAAGACCTGTGGCAGAGAGTTCCGCGCCCAAATAGGACTCATCAGCCACCTCCGGACACACTTGAGCAGCAGTTGAAGTTGTGGTCATCATCAACATCGATGGACAAACATCATCATTGTATAAAGCTCTTTGTCAATCTTCGATAGACGTAGGTGCAGATGCAAGCAATTCCCAATTGGCAGTCAGGGCCAAGTTCGCGCAAGGACTATAGTTGACCAATGGTTAACTAACGTTTGCCCAAACTCTGTCTAGTCAACGGTGGTTGACTACGCTAGTCGACTATTTGGAACCAGCCTACTGGGGTTGGTTGCTTCGCTGGTAACCAATAGCCGCGCGCATTCATAACGCTAGCAGAGAGCCAGGATCCAGAAGTTTTGCGATGACATTTTGACCAGCATTTGACTAGAGACGTTCGCACGTTGCTATCAGTGCGCAGGTGTAAGGTACTTCACAACTCAACCACTAGTCGACTAATGGTCCTTGCCCGATCTTGGCCTTAGTTAGGTTGACCATGTCAAACTTGATCAGCGCAACTCAAACATTTGAATGTTTGACCAATTCCAAGTTTGAACAACTGAATACTCAACAAATTAAAAATGCACAGCATTGTGGTAGGCCAGTAAGAAACAGGTGTCACGTACCTGCAGATAAGATTTCAGACTCCAGTCTTCCCAGATCCTTGCCCAGGCGCTTGACGTCCGCCTTGGTTCCCTCCAGCTGGGACCGCAACCCCCTCTGCCTCTCCAATAACTCCGCCCTCTCCTGGGAGTACTTGGTGTCTCCTTTGTACTTCACTTTATACCCGCTCCCTGATCTGTGCCGGGCTTGGCTGAGAAAGTTTTCCATTTGTCAAGGAAAGTTTTGACAGTTTGACCCATCATCGTAAAATTAGCCTGAAGCTGGTTACAGGTCACATGTGTGACCCAATAGTGGAATTAGACAAAAATACTGCTTGGACGATAATTGCCAAGCACAATAATGAAGCAGCAATTAAATAATGATGCAGCAATATTGAAGTATCACATGTGGTTCAAATGCACCAGTTAACATAACAAAATTGTTCATAAGATGGAATTATTCATAAGATGGAATTTTGTATCGGGGTGATGTCAATCAATATTATGTTTTTGCCCTTCACCAACGTATAAACACTGTATACTCAGTGTGTTACCTCCCGAATGAAAATCGCTCCGGTGGGACTCAAACCCACGACCTCCTGCTTTCTAGAGCAGACGTCCCATTTTTCGACCACCGAGCTTGTGGGATCGGTTGGCTGGTTCGAATCTGATGTACATGTAGCAGCGGGTACCGCAATTAAACTATTCATAAGATGGAATTTTGTGTCGGGGTGATGTAAATCAATTGGTTTAGACCAATAAGGTCCACATTAATGGTCATTTAATTAATGTCTGATGTCGGACCGTGATTTCGTCTGGTCGACTCACTCTAAGCCAAGCTGGATCCTGTTCTGCATTTTCCGAGCCTTCTACCAGGCTGAAAATGTCAAACATTGACCAATTTTAGGATTGTCAAGTTGAATTCCAGAATTTCCTCAATTACTTCAGGAACAAGTGGCCTGAGGTTTTCAGTGAAATTTGGCTATCGTCTGAAACCACTATAATACAAGGTAGCCTCGTATCTTCAGCAAAAGCCACAGTCCACTTAAATCTCAATCCAGTCAATTCAGGCGATTCGCAATGCAGTGCGCCACCAAGAGTTTGCCACGGAGAGTTCATTTTTCCCAGTGCATTGTGGGAGACGGTTGACAAATTCGCAGCGCAGGACATTTTAGATTGTTAGTTTTTTCCGGCCAGTAGTTTCGTAAGCGTATGATTTGAGTATGTTTGTCCTTTTCTTTTCTTTTTATCAATATGGTGCTTTTTTGTAAGGCCGCAGAACCTATGCCCCAATCAATACAAATTAGCTGAAGTTGTCTACTGACACTCGTTCAAATGGGTCGTGTTTTGTCGATCTTGGTGGCGCACTGCATTATTAGCCTATTTGAGATACGGTGGACACAATACGAGGGCGCTATTTGGTCCTGGTAAGTACAAAACAGTTTACACAAATCAAACAGCACCCTCCTATTGACCAATTGCGGTAGAATCGCGTTAGAATCGCGTCAACGCAGCTTGTGAAATATTGTCCAATTGCATGATATACGAATGGATGCAGAACGCTCAAAATCTGAGACAAACAAAACTTAGCTTACAAAAATTCCATATAGGGTTGTCTTATTGGGCGTGGCTAACTCAAAAATGGCGATAGGTCAATTGTGTCTACCATAACTCAAATAGGCTAATAAGTACTTTGCAGCAGTTTTATTCACCAATCGACTTGTCTTGTTTTATCTAATTTAAACTATGGACAAAGGATACAGTGCTAGGTTTCCCTTGACCTTCCTTGCCGTTTGGGCCGAGTGAACCCTTGCATTCACAAACTCCCAGATATCAAGCAGACCGCCTCTGCAAATCCTACAAAAAAACGAAGAGAGAAAGAGATTACAATGTAACAGTAGATATTCTAAAACAATTAGCAGTGGTCAGTCGAGTCCAAGGGCAAATTAGGCAAACTCAACAAGTAGGGCAAGGTTTCAATGTACAAAATGCATGCAGACCAAAACCGTTAAAAACAAACCTGGAAGTGGACCGCGTAGACGGAACGAAATGGCTACAAACAGAAGAAAAGAGAAAGACGAAACAGAAAGGCGAAACAGCTACGACTGACAGGGCTGACTATTAACAAAAATATAGGCCTAAGGGTCCGTAGTGAATTTTGAAATATCGAGTGATGAGCTTGTGCCAGAGGCCAGAATGGTAGTAATGCCCAAATGATCATGGTAATTATGTTGTGCACTGAAAGTTGTAAATTAACAATTGGATTGCAGTTTTCTGAATAGTTTTCTTCACCGATCTTGTTTTGACCAATTCTGCCATTGACCGGACCCAGGTGCGGGATTGTTTTTCACGCACCTCGATGCCAGACGGGTTCAGGCCGTCATCTGCGGGTAGCACACCCTGATATTTCCGGCCTCGCTCGCTGCGAGCGGGTCACTGACAGATATTTCCGCCCTCGTCTGTTGCATGCATATCCGTCATCCATACCAAATTTTGCAAAACCTTTGCATGTATGCACGTCATCTGACGTGAACTGGTAAAAAGCACCGTAGTTTCACATCAGCAATATCTAAAAGCCACTTTCGGTGCATGCACACAATGATATGGGGCATGGGTCATTCGGCATAATCAAATGCTCATCGAAGGCGCACGACGCTTGCGTGTTGATTACAAGCAGCATGGGCGTCCGTGTAATGTCATCGAGTATCATCACTTTGTCGATTTAAATCCCAAATGACCTTTGACCTGGGCTACATGTACGTCATCGAGGTACCGAACTGGCTTATTATGAGTACCTCTTTACCAAACTGACGAGTCTTTTTAAATCCATAACAAGTCAAATCACAAGTCACATCACAAGTCACATCACAAGTCACATCACAAGTCACATCACAAGTCAAATCACAAGTCAAATCACAAGTCAAATCACAAGTCAAATCACAAGTCATATCACAAGTCAAATCACAAGTCAAATCACAAGTCATATCACAAGTCAAATCACAAGTCAAATGACAAGTCAAATCACAAGTCATATCACAAGTCAAATCACAAGTCAAATCACAAGTCAAATGACAAGTCAAATGACAAGTCATATCACAAGTCAAATCACAAGTCAAATCACAAGTCAAATCACAAGTCAAATCACAAGTCAAATCACAAGTCATATCACAAGTCAAATCACAAGTCAAATCACAAGTCAAATCACAAGTCAAATCACAAGTCAAATCACAAGTCAAGTCAGGTCACAGCTACGGGATTAACAATGACAGAGACATGTCTTTGTCACAATTTATTTCGATAGCTGGTGACGCGACAGCAGACTACATGGTGACTTTTTCATTAGCTTGTGATGTCTTGGACACAACTTCTGCCTCCAATTCCCCTGACACCTCCTCACCCTCTCAGTTCCTGCGGTGTTGGCATGGGAGCATTGACGTGCCGGCCCTGGGGCACAAAGTTCATCTCCGTCGTTGCCCATTTGTGGAGGAGGGCCGCCACGTCACTGCGTTTGTCTGACATCATCAAAAGCTGCTCATCAGACACGGACGATTTCTACAAATGGGAAGAAAAGCAAAACTCCTTCTCATAAAATGAAGAAGTATAAGGCCAAAAAAAAAGTCTCCGGTTTCTGGTATGGAGCTCGCCCCAAAAGTGGTGCGGCGACCCGGCTTTTTGTTTTTTTACCTGTTTTTTTTTTTTGGCTTCAAATGTCGGCTGATGACTGCAAATGGTGCCCGACTAAACTTAGTGCAAATATATGGGAGTCCAGAGAGGCCACATAAAGCTTATTCTCGATCATAACCCCATCTAAAAACACGTTAAAATTGTGCAGCAGCAGGATTCCAGTCAAACCAGTGAGTTTGGCGGTTTTGAGACATCATCTTGTATTGAAAAAAAAAACCTTTTCATTTTGCCGACGCGCATGGCTACGGCGACGCGCGCGCATACCAGAAACCGGAGACTTTTTTGTTTTGGCCTAAAGGATTTGTTTTTTACACCATCCACTTCTGCCTGTTTCCTCTCCACCTTCTCCTAGACATGCTAATTGGGATGCTAGAATTTTTTTTTTTCGAATTTCGGATGCTACCAATGTAGTCAAACTTAATCCAAATTTCTAAAAAAGGAGTTCTAGCGCCCAAATTAGTGGGTCTACCCTCCTCCCACACACACACACACATAAATAGGGGAAAAATGTCGCATTTCCTAACAAAATTGGAAATATCGTTTCGGTTTGCGGTGACACCATGTGGTAATAACTACTGCTTAGAAGATATTTAGTTCTGAAAACTCTTGTCCTGCTTATTATCAACTTTCGCTAAGTAGTTTTTGTTCTGATACGAACAGTCCTGCTTTAAGTTCTAAAAGAACTTCTCTTTGGTCTCAACATTTTGACTAGCCTGCTCTGGTCATCGTCAGGAGACGGACGGGAAATTGGACATGTTTCTCACTCAGTCTCAAATTCGTGGCTTTTCAACTTCTTTTGTAAATGACTGACCTTCACTGAGATGCCGTGATGAGAACAGTCACGACAGTGTCATGATGCAACGTTCTTTCTGTATTGGCTAATTACAAAATTGAAATTTCTGTCTTTTCAACTTCTTTTCAACTTTTGCGACCTGCACTTGGCTCCATGGCTTGAGTATTTCCAGCTGACATGTTAATTCACATTGTGAATATTATCAGCTGGAGTTACTCAAGCTCATTTTTAATACATGTAGGTTTCATTTTATTTAGCAGGAATAAAAAACACACAAGTACATTTGTATTTTAGGCAAGTCCAAGCTTGAGTAACTCCAGCTGACATGCTCATATTCATTCACATGAATGAGCATGTCAGCTGGAGTTACTCAAGCTAGGCGAGTCCAAGAACTAAAAAGTGGATTTTCGTTCTCTTATAAACTAGGCCTATATAGACTAATTAATAGGAAGGGAAGTATACATTTATACTAATAGGAAGGGGGTCCTAAACTACACAATTACCCCCTACACTGTAGGGGGTAATTGTGTAGTTTACAGTACTACACGATCGTCGCCCACATCATTGTGTATGATAAGAACTGCACAGACATAGTCCGAAAATTTGGGACTCTCAATACTGCAGTATACTGTGTATGAGAGTCCCAAAACTTAAGTTATCCATATCGTGCAAAAGTTTGTGCTGCATAATAAAACCAGTGTGAATCAAATGTGCAAGCTTCTTACTCACTACAGTTTCTTCAATAATCCCCAAAACTTCTGCCCTGCAAAGTTGCTGTTGTGAGCATTGCATCACCAAAAATTCAGCGTTTAATTCTAATTGTGCAGGGAGTTATCGAAATCCAAACGCAAAACATCACGTTGATGTGTACTGCAATGCATTGTGCAAAAAGACTCCTCAGCTAAAACATTTTCATCGTGTAGATAAAACAGTGGCCTCTTGTTGATCTGAGTGAATGCAGAATGTTTCATTTTTTAACAGAGGGCGCGGGCGCTATGTTCATTTGGCCATCGATTAAAAAACAAGTAAGCTGCAAGGCTCTTCCTACACCTACCCAGAATACCTTGGGAATCACACCACCATTTCTAAAGCATGGAGAATGACGTGGATCATTGGATGGTTTTTGAACTGTCAAAAACTGGCCTTAAAATTGGATTTCAGGTCTCAAATTTCGCAGAAGACATGCTTGCAACTATAGCATTTTGATGTTTGTGTTGTGTGGACATTAATTAGCCGAATGGTGAGTAAACAAATGTCAGTAGTAATTTTGCACGTTTTTATGCACTCATGGTCCCAGTCTGGAGGTTACTAAGAGTAACGACCCCCCCCCCCCCCGTAAAGTTGTGTACGAGAAAAATGCTCAAAACGATAACATTTTAAATTAGAAATGAGACTGACAGTGACAATGACCTGATGACTGACACAGTGACAATGAGTGAGAGGAGAGAAATTAGAAAATGAGGTTAAAAAATATATGATGAAAAAAAGTGGTGAAAGGGCGCAACATTCTAGTAGTAAACGGTCCTTTCAAGTCCAGGCATTATTCCTTGATGTATGATACATACCTCAGAATTCAATTAATTATGTGAAATGGAAAAAATGAGATTTCCGTGAGCGGGTCACGCTTCGATGCTTCGGGTCGGGAGCCACTTATGAAGTTACCGCGTAACTAACTTGCCCACTTGAGGGCGCGCTCGCTACGAGTAGACCCGAAAGGCAAAACACCCCTACTTAACACAATAGTCTGATTCATTTTGTGCTTTTTCTTATTTTAGATACACATACAGTCTAAAATAACACCTATTTGTTATTAAAGAATAATTTATATGCAATCGCAATCAAATAAATCAGTCTAAATTGTCATTTATTGTCACTTAAAAACAAACTTTTAATCCTAAATGACGGGACCATTCTAAAAAAGGGTAGACGGAAATTCAGGGTCAAAGTTCAACCGCACGGCGGGATTTGAGATGTTTATTTTTCGGAGAAGTGAAATCCAACTTTAGTTTAGTTCCCGTTTTTGCCTGTAACAAATCAAACATTCTTCAGTTTGCTGTTGACAAAATTTCCTCAAAATGCCTGTCATCAAGTTGCAGCATGTTGTGTCATGCAGTAGCGAAGATACGGTAAGGAGTGATTTCCGAACTTGCCATTAGTTGACATAGGATTTTACCTTAACCAGTAATGGTATTACAATCACAATTTCGTTTTGCAGTAATTGCACTGTTATTTGTTACTTACCACTGATGCTGAGTATCGTTTAGGTTTGGAATTGAAATAGAGTTCATACATTCCGTTCCCTGATTCGAGTTGTTTCTGTTGGATTTGATATTGAAGTAACTTGAAGAGAAACTCCTGATAATTTTTTTTATTTCCAACTTTACAAATTAAATAAGATAGTGGATATTTTGCCGGAGGTAATGACGGCAAACTAACGATTACTAACGGTTTGCCGGCGGCAATCCATATCAACAGAGGGCGCTGTACTCGTTAAAATAGGGCTGAATTATAAGATATATTAAATTCCCACCAAAAGTTGTGTAGCACGTTTGGTGTAGTGGTTGAATCGAATACAGGTCAGCTCATACGCGAGCCAACTCGTACGCGACCAACTCGTACGCAGGATCATGTTTTTTTGTATCATTGAAACTTTTGAACTTGACATCGTTGCATTTATGGAATTTAAACTGTTGAAAATACTATGGCTACAATCATAGTTATTCAGTCATACAATCGTACTGTGTACTGTGATAAATCGATAACTTTGGCGTGTGTTTTGGGGTAAACTTTTAGCGATCGTAAACATCGTTCAATTTAAATTTGCTTATTTCGATCCGCGTACGAGTTGCCTGGCGTACGAGTTGGTTCGCGTACGAGTTGGTCCGCGTACGAGTTGTCTTGCGTACGAGTTGGCTGGCGTATGAGTTGTCTCGCGTACGAGTTGACCTGTTTCCTAGTGGTTAAGCAAAGGCTCTAGTAAGCGGGATGACTCGCGTTCGATTCCGACCGCACCACATTTAAATTTTTTTTTTCTCATCCCCAAATAAATAAGAATATTCTTCTTTTATTATTTTAACATGTCTCAAACATTTTTTGCAGAGTATTACATTTTCTTTTTCAGATTTGTGGCTCTGGAGGATTTTTTATAAAAGGGAAAAAAAGTCCGAAATTATAAAATGGTCTGAATCCCATCTTGTGAATACAAGGTAACAACGATAATTTTCACCGGAAAAGTACAAAAAAACAGTAACTGCGCATGTTCAGTGCATATCCGGCAAACTAACGTTTACTAAAGGTTTGCCGTCTCCGGCAAAATATACACTGCCTTAAAGATTAGGAAAGATTTCCATATCTGGCCATCACTAATTTTCCCTTCAGTGATGACTTATCATGCAGCCATCAGAAAGTGATAATATAGGCCTATGTCCTAAAAAGTAAGATTTAGCAGGGAAAATATTGAAGTATTTACTGAGAAAACACTTAGAAATTTTCAGACCAGTCACATCATGTTCATACGGTTTGTGCACAGGGTGACAAGTGATGGCCAGATACGAGAATCTTTCCAAAAATGTAAATAAACTTGCAAGGAAAACCTTAATTTAATGTTTAAGTGTGCTTTCAACCTGTTGCGAAACATAACCAGTCAAAAACAAAAGCTACAAAAAAATGGAAAAAATCCAACCCCCCCAAAAAATTCCTCAGTGTGTCAGTGTGACTCAGTGTGACTGAGATCAGAGGCAGTATGAAATTAGGCATATGCCAGTGAATAGAGTAAACGTGCCTGCCTTTAAAAAAAAAAAAAAAAGCCCGGATGAGAAACTACATTTTTTTACTTGGCACAAGAAACTACTTTTTTTTACGTTTGAAATGAGACTGCTCCAGATTTGAGTGCAGCACCCGATTTCACGAAGCGCTGCGACGCGTCGCAACTCGAGTTATGACGTGTAACACGTCGCAACTGGCGACGCGTCGTATCTTCCATTTCACGAAAGTTGCGATGTGTTGAACGCGTCGTAAGTTCCTTGACAACGGCTTAAAACACGTCGCAAGTTAAGATGTGTCTAGTGGTCGTCGCAAAATAAGAAGAGTCATTTCTAAGCCAGTTTTATGCCATAAATATTACATTAATGAGATTATAATACTGAGGCAATGTGTGTAAAGTTGTAAATAGAAAATTCATTGAATAATTATGAATTAGACCGGAATATTAGAATTGAAATTTCAAAGTAGCTATACAGTCCAATGAGAGCTTGTTTTCCTTCAAAATTGCATCGCATGGCCGCCATTTTGTTTTACGTTTTAACAAATTTTGAGCTGAGATCCGACGACTCTTTGTTGAATATCAGATGACTATTTACTGAACGCTGACTAAATACATAAAACAGTCACCGAGTTGTGCTATAAATACACCTACACTGTATGACGCGTCGCATGTACAACGTGTTTTGTGAAATGGATGGCAAGACGCGTCGCAGCTGCGACGCATCGTAGAGATACGACGCGTCGCATTGCTGCGATGCATCGTACCAGTAAGTTACGAAGACTTTAATGAAATTGGGTGCTGGTTAGGTTGTGTTTTTATTGCCCCACCCTATTTTTGTTGGTCCTCTTTCATTTTCACTGCAAATGAAAAAAAAATTGCTGTCCAGGTAGGAAGGAGTAAAGAACAGTTGACAGGTCTGTGTTAGTTAAAAAAAAACCCTTTTTTTACTGTCTTCTTACCCAGACCCACAAGGCGGACAACCTGTTGAAGCCAGAAAGCTACCGCAAATGGAAATGCGCTGAGAATGCCGAAAGACACACATCAGTAATCCTGCAGGTAATTAACGATGCACACTGAGCCTATTTTCCATTTGTTTTTCTAATTTTCTGTTTTCTTGAGAGACTTTACAGGTCTTACTTTTCTATCATTCCGGAGTTTTTTTTAAGGCAGTGGATATTTAGCCAGCAGCGTTATTTTCACGGAGGCTTTCACGGAGGTGTATATCATTAACCCTAACGATCACCAGCCAGCCAAACTCCAACACCGGGGTTTGTTGGGATCTGTTAGGATGAGTACTGCACTAGTAAACTTACTGCGCTTCATGTGGGATTAGGCATACCTCATAACAGAGTCCAACTGTTTATGTGCAGAAGTTGTGTTGGGATTTGCAAGGACGAGGAAGGTTCCAAGTATCACCCTAGGGAGTTAAGGTTAAGCAGCAGCTTTTCAAGTAAACGCTAGTTTGCTAGAGGAAAGCGGGCAGAATGGCGAAGCCACCTACCCCATGAAGCCTCATTCACAAAGGTCATAATCATCTTTGGTTGACTCGCTGTACAGTACAGTTGATTTTATTATTTTTTTTCAGTTTGAGAAAGCCTCACAGATCCATTCCATCGATGTTGGCAATGAGAGCTCGGCATTCGTGGAGATCTTGGTCGGTCATTCTACCTCCACTGCTTTGGATGACTATCAGGTACGTGTATTCATGGGGTGCTGGGCTCCAATGGTTACTGTGTTTGACTTGTGTGCCGTGGTACATGGGTTTGAATCCTGACGGGGAACATGATGCTTGTGCTCTTGAGCAAGGCACTTTTCCATTGTTGCTTCATCATTCATCCCGTGTGTTGTGTAATGCACGTTAACGAACCCAGTAACACTTATCGCTAAGAGAAGGAGTTTGCCCCAGTGTTTCTGGCAGTGGCTGCTATATGTGCCGCAGCACCTCGTATACCCTTTATAAAGGTGCTACATAATGGGTCTCTATTTGTCATAAAACTTTGTTACCTGTCTTTATAAATAGACAGTTACCAGCGCCTTGTGTATCTAATTGTTTCAGCAACTGCATGTGACAGGATCAAATAGCTGGAAAGAATGTTTTTGCCCCACCTTTACAAAAACATTCTGCATCCTCTTAACTTAGTTAAAAGCAACAAATGTAAATCACCCTCTCCGGCCCCCCCCCCCCTGAAAGTTCTAGTCAGACCTTGCACTGATAGACAAAGATTCATTGGTACCATTAAGAATGTGGACATGGTATTTGTGATAGTGTAAAATAGTTTTATATCGTAATCCATTTCCTGATTGTGATGATCTTGGCACTCTTGGTTGTCTGCTCAGGTCGTTTTGACAATCTCTCTTGCCTGTCTGAATGATCTGGCCAGCTGTCCTCTAGCGTCAGGATTAGGCCAAAAAAAAAAAAATTCGGTCTCTGGTCAAACCAAAGTTCAGGAATTGACGCTGGGACGCGGCTTTTTTTTCTTTCTTTTTTTTTTCTTTTTTTTTTTTTTCTTCAAGCTTGGATTGTACAGACAAGGTGGGGTACTATTTTGCTTTTTGGTGTCCTCATGTACATTGGTGTCCTCCACAATTTGCCTTGGTGCTCTCCATCATTTGCCTTGGTGCAATTTCCCATTCCTTGGTGCTCTTTGATAAAAAAAATTGAGGAGGTGCGGCAAAAGAGGGCGCTGTTGGAACTACCGCGGAACATATTGGAAAAAAAAAAATCGATGCGCGCGCTGACCAGAGACCGACTTATTTGGGTTTTTTGGCCTTTTTCCGATGTTAACTTAAATATTTTTTTTTTAGCATGTATTTTACTGTATTCTGACCTGTTTTTATACATATTTTAATATATTGTATTTTATCCTTTCCTATTATGGAGGTTTTGTTGTTAAATAAATAAAAATAAATAAACCCTCTGTCATTCTGTACAATTCACAGGTGGTCCTTGTGACGTCGTCGTTCATGAGTCCCATGGACAGCAAGAATGGCATTAACACCAACCGCGTCCGCATGTTCGGGCCGGACAAGCTGTCCAAAGCTGTCGCGGACAAGAAGTGGGACCGGGCCAAAATAGTCTGCTCCCAACCCTTCAACAAGGTGAAGCATAGAGCTAGGGTCCCTACAGACTGGGACCTGCAGTGCTCTGAAACATGCAAAACTAAATCAGGCCAACATCACTCACTCTTTAGCCAGCAAATTTCTCCAAAAATTCCACTGGGCAAAGTTCCTCAGTATTTCACTGACCAAGTTTGCAGACTCAATTCAATTTTTAAAGGGGAACATGAGAGGGAAGTCAGGTGATTTCAAAATGCGGCAAAAGACTAGACCGGTACATGTCCAACCATGTTCCAACTGTTTGAAAAGACTGACCTCTTCATTCAGTGTCATTAGTCTGGTGGCTGACTATGGAGAAATGTGCTGTAAATAGAGACTAGTTCCCGGAAATTCCAAATAAAAGGTCCTCAGTATTTCACCGACCAAGTTTGCAGACTCAATTCAATTTTTAAAGGAGACTTTTCTTCAATATTTTGCACATGAGAGGGAAGTCCAGTGATTTCAAAATGAGGCAAAAGACTAGACTGGTACATGTCCAACCATGGTCCAACTGTTTGAAAAGACTGACCTCTTCATTCAGTGTCATTAGTCTGGTGGCTGACTATGGAGAAATGTGTAGTAAATAGAGACTAGTTCCCGGTTCATGCCACATGATTCTTTTGGCACAGTTGACTGATGCAGTACTGAAGCTGTGTTGCACTGGTTGTTTCAGGTGCCAGTCTATTTTCTTGTATTGTAAGTCTTCAATACCTTAAGTTTTGGGACTCTCATCAAACATAGTATTGAGAGTCCAAATTTTCGGACTAGCGTTCCTAGCGCTATTGGTGAACAGTGAACCAATATCGATAATTTTGGGCGAAGTAAAACAAAAAACATGTTTAGCGTCCCCGCCCGCTTCCTTTTTAGAGGCCGCCTCTTTTTTTTTTTTTTTTTTTTTTTTTAAAGACAAAAATTGATAAATTTTAACGATCTCTGACGAAAAAAATCATATTTTTTGACATTTATACCGTGTTTAAAGCTGTGGAAATAGTCAATGAGTCCAAGTGGCGGCCATTTTGAAAAAAGCTGGTAACCATCTTGAAAAATAGCCCGGCCGGGTTGTCTTGAAAAATGTGTCGGGCGGCCATTTTGAAAAAAAAAAAAAAAAAAAGGGCCTCCTCCTTCCTTTTTGTCAAAGAGGCAGGACGCTAAACATGTTTTTTTTTTATTTTGCCTTGTAGCCCTCTCTCTCTTTCCCTCTCTTCATTTGTTATGGCACATATGGTACAAATCCAAAAAAATGTGCCATTGCTTTCTGTGCGTTTTTATCTGAACAATTCCAGCGTTATTAAAATAAGTGTCATGTTCGTGACGGAGCTTATAACCCTAACTCCCTAGGCATTTTTGCTAGGATGAAACCTCAATCCTGCAAACTCCTCCGGCTGCCTCCATGTAAAAATTGCATACAGCCTCAATCCTGCAAAATCCTCCTGTTATTTCTTGAATGTGGTTCTGGGAGGGGTGACCACTGCCTCAATTTTGGAAAATCCTCCGGCAGTAATTGTCAGAATGTTGAGGCAGAGCCAGTGACATCCTGGAGCAGTGCGGAGGATTTCAAGTATAATCTAGGCCTAAATTTATGCACGGCTGAGCATTACATCCCAAGGTCCGGCCCAAGACCTTGACACAGTGCATCCTCCAAAATCAGCCACACACTTTGGCCATGTAGACTCAATCCTGCAAACTTCTCCATTTTGCAAAAAGGATTGTGGTGGATATGGGAAGGTTAGGGTTAACCATAATATCTAATTATAGATTCAGAGAATGATCCAAAACACCTAGTCTGTAATTTCCTTGACTATTGCTACAGGGAGAGTCCAAAAGAAAGTGACACAGTGAGATAAAATGTTCACAACCCATGCATTTGGTTTTCACAGTTTCTGTCATACGGCCTGTCTTTCGTCAAGTTTCACGCGCCACCGACGGAGGAAGAAACATCATCTGGACAGCACGGCCAACAATCTCAGGTCTGTGCACTCACAGCGCTTTTTTCTCAGATTTAAAATTCCAACAACAAAATGAATAATAGATGAACATTTCTTTGAAACCGGCTGGTTTTTTTTCTCCTGTTCTGCCTAAAAAAAATGAAATCAGAAATTATAAGCAGAGTCTAGTACATGTAGTTATTTAAAACGAGTGTGAAAAACATAATCCTTGAATATTAATGCTAATATTGACAAGGCCAAAAAAAGTCTCCGGTTTCTGGTATGGAGCTTGCGCAAAAAGTGGTGTGGCAACGCGGCTTTTTTTTTTTTTAACCTGATTTTTCTGCTTCAAATGTCGGCTGATGACTGCAAATGGTGCCCGACTAAACTTAGTGCAAATATATGGGAGTCCAGAGAGGTCACATAAAGCTTACTCTCGACCATAACCCAATCTAAAAACACGTTAAAATTGTGCAGCAGCAGGATTCCAGTCAAACCAGCGAGTTTGGCGGTTTTGAGACATCATCTTTCATTGAAAAAAAACCTTTTTCATTTTGCCGACGCGCATGGCTACGGCGACGCGCGCACATACCAGAAACCGGAGACTTTTTTTTTTGGCCTAATCCTTGAATGTTAAATAAATAACAATTTGGCATTCTTCTTCCTTTCATTGCTAAAGTGGCAGTGTAACTGGTAACTGGTAACTCCCTACTCCCTACAAAATCCATCACTCTCTCTGCTTTCTAATAAATGACATAATGGAATCCACCACTGAAGTACTGGTGGATATTGATGGACTTTACACGTGGCTTATCAACAGCAGTACAGGATGCTTGGCAAAATCAATCGGATTTCCCTAGCACTGCTTCAGGCCTCCCAGTCCAAGTCCATCATACTCCATCAAAATTAAGTCAAACCGGCCTGCTGCCAGAAGGACCATTATTATATTATTATTATTTCATGGTTTATTAAAAACATTTTCCATCGCAGCCAAAGGCTGAATTAGGGAAAACAATACATTTGTTCAATTTACATAAAAAGTAGAATAGGCTTAATATAAAACGACCAAAAATAAACACACAGCGTTAGACACACACAAAATTGAGAAGAGCGAGAAAACAATGCAATTATGAAAATATGTAGTTGTACAAGGTTATTAGTAAAAAGAGATATCAAAAGATTACCAAAAAAAAAAAATACTGAAAGAGTAGGACTAAACACTTTAGTACAATGAGTTTCATTGCTTTGCAGTGCCGCAAAATGTTCATTGACAAAATAAAAAGATATCTATTGAGTTGTATTCAAAAGATTGATCAGATGTAGCACAGGACTGTTCTTAAATCTGGAGGTATTGCACTTGAGTTGAGTTAATTTTGTTGAGTTCCTCAGATTGTAGCCAGATGTTGACCTTGTTTGCGGACCTAGACTCTCATGTTTTGAGTTCTTGAGAGATTTCGCAAATGCAATGCTCAATTGTTCTCATCTATGCTCAAGTGTGTCTAGTTTGCAGACTTGTAGAGCATCACAGTATCGTACGTAGTCCGGACCGAGGACTATTCTGCACGCTCTCTTCTGGATACGCTCTCTTCTGGATACTTATTTGTCCTCCCAAATCCACCAAAAACAGGGGATGGATTTTGATAAGAGTTGGTGAGGTTTAGGGTTATGATTCTTTACGCTTTACCTGTAGAGTTGCAGATAACTTTTGACATTTATTTCTGGTTCCCTGTGTTTACTGCCATTAGCAGACTACCTCCAAACTGGGCATGTTCAAATTGAAGGAAGACACCAAAGCATCCTCCATCTCCCCGGGGAGTTTCTTCAAAAGCAGGAGCTCCATAAAGGCAGACCCAGCGCCTCTAACAGGTCAGTGTGGGGATTAGTTTTGTGATCAACACATCCAAAAGAAAAGTCCTATCAAAGTTGATACTCCGATGCTTTGAAAGTTTGAGTACAAAGGTAGAAACTTTGAAGAGTGTTTGGAGATTTCAGGGAGGGCCTTGGTAGAAACATGTGAAAGAGTGTTTCTATCAAAGGGAAAGTGCCCAATTGGGTTCCACAACGCATTTTAAATGAAATGATGTTAATAGAACCGTTCTAAATGCCGTCATTTCCAATCGACCATCCACGTGCATCGGCATTTTGAGCGTGAACTTGCATACCGCACATCGGCTATTCGTATTTCTAACACATTTCGAGCAACAAGCGCTCGTGTTTGGAGCATCTTCAACACTGCGCAATGCGTGCTTGATTGCGTAAAATACGCAGTTGCAGTTTTCCTACAGAGATGACCGTCATTGACAAGCCCTATTGGAAAAAGCACTTAAAAGTAAAACAGAAATGTTGTTTAAAAATTTGCTGTTTTTGTGTTATTCTTGCGAGAATGAATTTTGGGGTCAAATTTTCACTCTGAAAACTCCAGCTGTTTGGGTGCTAGTCGTGAATCCTACCGCTCATGTTCCACCAGTGCTTTTCATTCTGCGGACGTGCGAGAAACAGCATTTGTATATTGGTGCTGTGTGTATAATGTGACACACACGCACGGCGTGTACCGTTCATGGAATCGTCTGACATGGACACAGTTGCGCGGCATGAAGGAGACTTGTATCTACGGCTGGAAAGACGTTTGCGTATGCCACCAAATGTCAGCCGCGTCTGGGATTTTTCGTCCTTTCTCAGGAACAGTGCGACATCAGGTTAGTTAGGTTAGACCTTTGAAATAGGACGAGTAAACAACCTAAAACATAAAAATCTTGCCAATGTGGCTCTTTAAGTAGTTTGCAGTCACAATCTTGGGTTTCTGCTGTGCTGGATTTGTTTTAGTCGCAGTGCTTGTGGTCAATTGTTGTTTTCCAATTGTCTCTGGTTCTCGCAGGTGCTGCAGCAGTCCGTGCAGCAGCGACGGTAGCAGCGGCATCTCTGACGAGCTCAGTCACAACATCACAGGCGACTACCGCTTCAACGGCATCTAACCAGGTACATGAATGCTTCATAACAAGGCGAAGTAGATATGCAGCATACTGACCCGTTCAAATGTGGATTGATACACATCTACATGTACATGCGTTGGTTGAACTTAACTGGTGTGCTTCTGAAAAAATTTATATTGTCTGTCTGTACAAAAAGACATGAATAAGATGACAAATAAAAGGACAGAATTTTCCGGAAATTTGTGTCTGGACTGAATGTGCAAGTTTTGGTGATTTCATCAAATGTGAATTATCTTTTGCAAGAAAGTTTGTTTAACCATTCCCAGCTTGTCATACCTATTTCTTGAAATGTGAAATGTGACAAATGTTTTAGATTGTTCAAAAGATTTTTTTTTCACATAGAAAACAACGTTTTTTGAGATTGAGAATTGATGGCTTGCTGCAGGGCATCAGAGCAGCATATGGGCTCTGTGCGCCAACAGAGAGGGCGCTTTTTACCACTTTTGAGAGCCCCTTGGTTGGTACACACTGCGTGTGCATGCGAGTTTGTTTCTGCATTCAATAGGGGACGTTGAACAACAGAGGACATTAGGGCTTCCAATCTCCTGAAGGTCCCCAATTTGGATTCATGTGCAAAACATATGGGAGGTCTTCCTAAAAAGTGGAAGTACAAACAAAAGAGGGACAATAGGGGGTCCCTGATTGCAGGCAAATACACACTTGGGTGTGTTCGTTTATGGTGTAAATCGAGGACAAACACGTACAACATCATCGATAAATCGAGAACAGAATCCAAATCGAGGACTCCTCGGTTGGAAAACGTGTACAAAACCAATGAGAGCTGTTGCGAAATGTTTAAAGTACAAACACAGGAAAAAGGGAAAAGGAACAATAGAACATCCTTGATTTACACCATTGACAAAGGTGCTAGTATTCGCGTGTGTACACCATCAAATTGCATCCAACTAAGTTTATTTCAAATGTGCGTCTTCACATGAGTGTCAGCCGTCGTCAGCGATGCGTTTAAATGTCCTCCCAACGGGCTACCCAACTCTTTCTTGCCGGTGAGGGGGTACTTGTGAACAAAGCCCATAGCAGAGCTAGCACCCCAACGTACTTGCAAACGCAGCGGTATGGGCTCTGCAGAGCCCATTTGGAGCCCATGGCCCATGCGGAGCCCACAGCAGAGCAAGCACCCAAATAATCTGAATACAATGTACGGGATTGATTTGTGTCTCTTTCCATAGTCATTCATTTGTATTATCGTCATTTGCCCAGACCCAGCCAAGAGCACCCAAGACAACCCCCTCCACCACCACACCCAGACAGAGTGACACCAGGAGTGACACACCCCAGAAGACAACCCAGAAGAGGAGACTGTCAGATGAGGACGCGGCGCCCTCCAAACGGGCCGACAGTAAGGTAGCGGCTGGAAGGAGAAACGACGCAGACAAAGAGGAGGGGAGGAGTAAAGCCCCGCCCCCAAAGAAGAGTAGAGGTGAGTTTAGACTGGAAGCCTGCAGAAGCAGTGCGGTCGATACCGAACACAATGCAGGGCTCAATTATGCATGGCTGAACATAAACATTGCTGAGTACAGCCTACAAACTCGACGCAATGCATCCTCCAAAAACAACTAGACTTAATTTTGCCATTCAGTCTCAATCCACCAAAATCCTCCAAAAACCACCTTGAGGTTTTTGGAGGATTGAGGAGGGTTAGGGTTAATCAAGTAATACAGTCGGTTCTGTTTGTTGAAGAACTTCTGATGTACCTCCAGTACAACACAGGTTCGGTCACAAGTAAATCACAAGTCAGTTTACAAGTTGAGATGAACTACATGTATAATTGCAAAGGAATGCCTATGTCACCTTTCATTTGAATAGCCCGTGGGTTTGTGTTGAACTAGATGGCTTTGAATGGACTTGTGATGAACCACAACACTGAATATGTGAGGCATTCTTGCAAAATGAGGCAGAACTGGACAGAGGTTGAAATGAGGTTTTACGGTTGTTTGGAAAGAAGATAAAATGCTTCTTATCCCGCGAGCGCGAGTGGAACACGGAATAATGTAGTGCGTCTGTGTCCCACATATCATGAGGCCGAAGACCGAGTGGTTTGTGGGACACAGACGCACTACATTTTCCGTGTTCCGCGAGCGTGATAAAGAATTTATCTTCAAGCAAACTTGACGCGCAGTACAGTTGGAATGAGCACACTTTACACGAACATTCGGCAGTTTAGCGTATGCAGCTGGAATGTCGCTCACATCTTGGAATAGTGAATACGCGGAGTGTAGCACGGCTTGTTGCCATGGATCGACCAATCAGGATCGAGGATTCAAGTTTACTTGAAGATAATACTTTTCGTTGCACTTCAATCGGATATTCCTTTGACAAGTTATGGCTGCTTAAAGTTCGCATATTTATCAATATGTCAAAAAAGTAAATACTGAGGGAAAAGCCTTTTATAAATTTTGACTTTAGTCATGTAAGTGGTCGTGAAAGTGAAAGATACCAATTGTTTTTGTCTTTATAGAAACACATTTATTCTAGTAAACTTGTACTAAATCGTTAAAATATGTGTAGTAGACATATCAAAGATTACAAATATAAAATCTGAAAATTGAAAAATAAATCAACCCCATTCGTTTTTTCCCTTCATGTTTCTCCACTACGGTCTGTGCCCAGTTCTGTCTCATTTTACCAGAAGATCTCACATATATCCCTTTGCATTTTGATTTGATCTTCTCACTTGGCAGAGGAAGCGCCAAGGAAGCCGAAGTCCAAGCCCTTTGAGAGGCTGATGGAGGGGGTGACGTTCGTCTTGAGTGGTTTCCAGAATCCTCTCAGGGGCGACCTTAGGGAGAAGGCCATGGAGATGGGAGCCAAGTACCGGCCAGACTGGGGGCCTGGATGCACGCATCTCATGTGAGTTGCCTTCTTGTAGTAAGTTTGTTCAAAGCCGATATCTGACTAGGTTATTTTGCATTCTATGTTGGACGGTCGTTTGACGTTTTCTCTGTTAATGGCTCATTAGGCTACGTAAATTCTAATTCTACTATGGACAGTCATTTGACATTGTCTCTGTGGCTCATTAGGCAACTTCAATTCCTATTTTATTTTAGACAGTCATATGACGTTAATAATAATAATAAAGAACATTTGTAAAGCGCCGGCATCTGCCTAAAAGGCGCTCATGGCGCTTGATGAGAAAGTCAAGTTAGGATTGTGTGTTGTGAGAGTAAGCTTGTTTGTACAGGTGAGATTTTATGTTTGTTTTAAATATTGTGATGGATGGAGATGATTTGATAGCCAGAGGGAGTTGGTTCCACACTCGGGCTGATGCTGCGGCAAAGGATCTGTCACCCCAAAGAGTGGAGGTCCTGGGCTCGTGAAGCATCATGAGCTCATCAATGGAGCGGAGTCCAGTGTGTGCTGTTGAGTACGGGTGGCTGAGCTCGATGAGATACTCCGGCGCATTGTTGTGGAGGATTTTGAACACGAATAGGCCAAGTTTGTATTTGATTCTGTATGATACTGGAAGCCAGTGGAGATCTGCTAATACAGGAGTGATGTGAGAATGTTTACTAGTGAGAGAAATTAGTCTGGCACTGATGTTTTGTAGTTATCTCTGTTAATGGCTCATTAGGCTACGTAAAGTCCTATTCCATTTTGGACAGTCATTTGACGTTGTCTCTGTTAATGGCTCATAAAGCTACGGACATTCCCATTCCATGTTTGATAGTCATTGTATCTCTTAATGGCTCATAAGGCTATATATATTCCTATTCTATTATGGAGAGTTGTTTGACGTTGTCTCTGTGATTTCCACAGCTGTGCCTTTGCTAATACACCAAAGTTCAACCAGGTCAAGAACAAGGGCAAGATAGTCACCAAGGGCTGGATTCTGGATTCCTACAAGAAGAAGTCTCTACACCCATGGAGGAGGTAGGTGTCCCCATTAGACCCTGTAGTGCCCCAAAACACCCTGCCCTATTGCACTTTATTTATTTATTTATTTATTATCCACATCCAGCAGCAGAACAAACCGCCAATTACAGGACTGGTTAAAAAATATTATACAATTATTAAAAAAAAAATATATATATATATATATATACACAAATATGATAAAAAAGAATCATTATAAAAAATATATATTGATGTTATAAAAACAAACGAAAAACAAATGATATGTATATAGGGATGAAACGAGCACTGTGAATTGTGATAGGAGACGATTTCATTGGAAAATGCTAAAAAGTAATGGATAAAAAAACAAAAAAAACAGAAGACACTTAAGGCACATATACTTGAGACAAACACAAAGACAACAACTAAACAAACAAAACAAAATAACAAAAAGAAGAGAAAAAAAGGAGAGTAAAACAAAACAACAAACGTAACTAAACAAAACAAAAACAAGACAAGACAAGGAAAACAACGTAAAACAAAAACAAACAGAGCAAGACAGAACAAAACAAAACAAAAAACAAAAATCCAAACCAAGCAGAACAGAACAAAACTGAACAAAAGAAAACAGAACAAAAAAGTAAGAATAAAATACACTTTCTAAGAAAAAACAAGATAGCAAAAATTTTGTTACAGAAATAAAAATAATAAAAACAAATCACATGACAGAAAATAAATTTGGAGAGAAGTGATGACAGTATAAAAATATTAAAAGGAGTTGCAAAAAACGGATGGTAATACATATATTTGAAGTAATCGATGACAATTCATTCAAGTGAGTTAAAAATGAAAGCAACAATGCATTAAAAAAGTAAAAAAGTATACTGCCTCAAACTGCCCAATGATTTTATGGATCCATCAAGGAGTAAATACAGCCGACGTAGATATAACTGACTGACCAAGTGGATGACGGACATTAGTTGGACCAGTAGATGTCCACTAGAAAGCAGGAGGTCGTGGGTTCGAGTCCCACCCGAGTGATTTTTTTCCAACTTTCACTCGGGAGGTAACGCACTGAGTATACAGTGTTTATACATCGGTGAAGGGCAAAACCTAATATGGATTCACATCACCCCGACGCAAATTCAATCTTATGGATAGTTAATAACTGTACCCGCTGCTACATGTACATCAGATTCGAACCAGCCAACCGATCCCGTTAGCTCGGTGGTCGAGTGGTAAAACATCTGCACTAGAAAGCAGGAGGTCGTGGGTTCGAATCCCACCCGAGTAATTTTTTCCAACTTTCGCTCGGGAGGTTACACTCTGAGTGTTCAGTGTTTATACGTTGGCCAAGGGCAAAACCTAATATATTTATTTACATCATCCGGACGCAAATTCAATCCTATGACCAGTAGATGTACTTACGTACATGTAGATTAACAGAAGTGTTGTAGTTGCAAGAAGTGAATAAAGCCGAGTCTGTTACGAGTAATTCAGAAAGTCCGAGTAAGTTCAAGTAAGTCCAGAAACGAGTCAAGGAGATGATGAACAGTATAACCCCCAAAAAAATACGCCTATGTCGTTGTTCATTTTCTTCTGACTTAATTGGGACAGAGACACCCAATGTGAAATTGAAGACCTTCCTCACATAATGAGGGATAAAGACACCTGGCGTGGTGTTGTGAAGGAGATCTCGGTTGTGACCGCTAGATGATGATGATGATGATGATGATGATGATGATGATAATGATGATGACTTGTGATTGACTTGTGAGAACTTGTGACGACTTAGAGGTGTGATAAAACACAATAAAACCAGAATAGAAATGAGGGCCGCAACCCCATATTTTACATTGTTTACCCTTGAAATTGATTAATTGGATCCAGCACTGATAAACTTCAAATATGGTTCTGGGATCTCTGTATTTACATTTTTTGTTCTTCATATTGTTGTGTCAAAAGGTATAGTATGGTGACAGAGAGTGACGACGACGACTCTAGCTACGAGGAGGAGAGCGAAACGGATGAAGAGGACGACTGGGAACCACCCAGGAGGAAGAAACCATCGCCTCAGAAAGCCACGCCCAGCAAAGCCATGCCGAAGAATGCCACACCCAAAAAGGCCACACCCAAGAAAGCTACTCCAAAAGATGCAGGGGATGGGAATAATAGTGACCAGGGAACGTCAGAGGCTGCTCAAACAGTAAGGATATTACATAGAAACTTACTAAGTGCCACACCCAATCAGGCCACACCCAAACAGGCCACACCCAAGAAAGCCACTCCCAAAGATGCAAGGGATGGGAATAACAGTGACCAGGGAACATCAGAGTCCGCTCAAACAGTAAGGATATTACATAAATACTTACAAAGTGCCACACCCGATCAGGCCACACCCAAATAGGCCACACCCAAGCAAGCATGACTGCATTTGATTTAAAGCTATAGTCCATCATTTGCAGCTTTCCAAAATGAAGCTGACACAATTATTGTTGAAAAACATACATGTACTTGGTTGAAAGATAGTAAGGGAAGTAAACGCCCTGTGAAATTATTCTTTCTGGCATGCTGTCATTTAGAAGAAATCAACGAAAAAAGGCCTTTCCAACGGTGCGTCTTAAGATGCACTGTTGTAAATGTTTGTTAGTAGTTCATTTTTTGTATTTGGGGAAGCATGCGTAAGCATTGGCACGATGCATACACCCGCGCGGTTGCTACAATTCGTCGGATCTGTGCGTGACATCGCGTAACTCGGACGCTGAATTCAGGCCCAATTTAAAACATGATTTAGCATCTTTTGATTTGAAATTGAGATCCTAGAATGCCATTTTTTTTTTCTCTGGAATATACAGCTGAAGCTGAGCCGCAACTTCATCAGGTTAGTTGTTCAGCACCCTTCTTTAGATTTTGAGCATGTTTGTTGCTTCAAATGAACAAAATGCACAAAGTGCAAATGATGGACTATACCTGGAACTCTCACGTGACTTCTCGCACTTACTCGAGCTTGGCCTAAGTAACCGACCCGCTGAGCCGGTTACTTAGGTAAGTATCCCACAATACAATGCGAAAATATGGCGGATACATCTAACGCTGTGGCGGCGTTGCATTCAAACGTGTCCCAGCTTCACTTCACACTAGTAGTACTAGACGAAGGGAGGAATGTTTATTTCAAACATACCTTGCCATTCTTGTTCACTTTGGAAGAGCATGTACAGTGGCCACCATTGGCTTGCTTTCGACGGCGCGAATCTATTCGCAAAGGGGATTTAATCACCACATGACCTCTTGACCTGGTCCGTTGCATCTATACCTAAGAGAAAAGTATGGGTAGCATGAGGGAATTAAACCCTTACTCACTGGGCCTTTTTGCTAGGATGTAGCCTCAATCCTGCAAAATCCTCCAATTGGCCTCGTGGAAAAATAGCATATATAGCCTCAATCCTGCAAATTCCTCCATTATTTCTTGAATATGGTCCGTGGAGGGGTGACCACTGCCCGAATTCCTGCAAAGTCCAGCGGCAGTGACTGTCAATATGTTGAGGCTTGGCCAGTGACATCCTGGAGCAGTACGGAGGTTTTCAAGTATAATCCAGGCCTATATTTATGGATGGCTGAGCAAAATACACCAGGTCCGGCCCAAGACCTTGGCAAAGTGCATCCTACAAAATCAGTAACGTACTCCTGCCGTGTCACCTCAATCCTCCAAATTCCTTCACTTTGGCAAAGAGGATTTTGAAGGATTCAGGGCCCTTAGGGTTAATAGAATGCGCTGGTGATGCCCATTGCTGCACCAATGAATCATGTCTCTTTCCTCTTGACAGACAAAACCCTCCAAGCCCGACGTCAAGGGAGACGACGATTGCAGCACGACAGACATTGACAGCGACACTGAGAATGTAGTGAGGAGGGCTGCTGCATCCAAGCGGCATGACGACGTGTCGTCTGGAGGCGACACAGAGGATGAACTGAGGAGGTCGGTTGATGAAGATGGAATGAAGTCATTTACTTTAACGAGTGTGTAATACATTTCTACCCACCTTAGGATTGATGCTTGTTTTTATCTAAGAGCCAATCCAAGGATGGCTGAGTTGTTTGTTTGAAATATTTTCTTTTGTAGTTTATAATACAGGGCGAGTGATAAAAAGGAAACCCAGTCGTCAGGACTATTTTTGTAATGAAGTTCTGCAAGCACTTTCAAAATCTAGGATATGAACGCCCACTTAATAAGTTTTCTTTTCGTACAAGTTTCATTCAAATCACTCATGTACTTTTCAAGTTACGGAATTTTGAACACCGTTTTAAAGTTCTGTCCAAGGATCCAAAAAAGGTAAGTGCTCTTTCAGCAAAATGAAAACAATTCACATACATCCTAATCCATGCTAGTATGTGCTTTCCGGCAGTTTGGGGTGTTTTGGTGGTCAGATAACTTCAACAGCTCTCTCTTAAGCTTGTTGACTTGCCTTGTTGACAGGATGATTGATTATCCATGCCGTGCGGTGAGTGAGACTCACTAGGAGTTTAATACACAATCATATGGCTCTTGTCAGAGGGGCTGGTGTTTGGCTAGGATTTACAGGGTCAATAGTTCAACAAAGGCTAAAGGGGCACTCACCACGTTATTTGGCTATGTTTGAATGAGGAACTTGTAAAATTTTCAGACCAAATAAGTGTCACAGTAATTACAAAATTAAGCAAAACAGACTCTATTCTAAGTTACAATCTAGGGCTTAGTAGATTTGAATAATTGAAAATTCAAATATTCAACCTTCCATTCAACAAAGTATGTACGAAATCAGTTTCATTATTAACACACACAATTGCACATTATAATGACTTCAGTAGCTTCTCACTTTTATGACTGACGCCAGCAATGATTTAGCTAAAGCTTAAGCACACACGCAAAGGAAAAAGATACATTTAAGAATTTGTTTTATTTCTCGATTAAAATTTGATCAGTTGCAATGATTACGATTTTGTAACATATATTCTGCCACAATACATTTTCTTTTTGGACAGGAATCAATCACCCTAGACCTGCATACACAAAGCTAAATCACTTTGATTATAGTTAAAAATGTTTAGCCAATGACCTCCTACAATCTCTCAGCGGAGGGTTTTAAGTAATTATCTGAATGATTGATGTTGATCAACTTTTCTAGGATACGAGAAAAAGGAGCCACTAATGCCAAGGCAGCCGCCAAAGACAACTACGACAGCTCGACGGACGAAGAGACATATATCCCAACGTCGAGCAAGCCAGAGGGCGCTACACCTTCCTTAAACGACATCCCTGACTTGCCAGATTTCTTTGCCGACAAGATTTTCTTTCTGTACGGCAAATTTGATGCGGAGGAAAGGAGGCAGATCAGCAGACTGATCGTTACTTTTGAAGGGTAAGATGGATTTTTTTTTATTTCAACATTGGAAAATTTGAGTTGTTTAACCCTAACCACCTCAACTCCATCAAAATCCTCCCCCCATTTTTTTTTTGGGGGGGGGCTTGGTCCAGAAGGCCTGCAGCTGATTTCACGAAAAAGTTACGCCATGCGTAAGACTTATGCAACAAATTTGTTGCGCTGCTGCGCAATAAACTTGTGACCGATTTCACGAAACTTGGCGTAGCTGCGCAACGTTTTAAATAATTTAAACATCTTGGACGAGGATAAAAACAGCATTTACGACGGCTGTTTGTGTGTGAATTTGTTCTTTTGCGAAACAGTCGTTGGGTCACCTCAGCCCACCATTTTGAAAATTTTTCGGAATCGTTCGGCAACTCTAAAAATTATGTTACAAGTAAAATAGAAATTCATTTACTCCAAACAAAAGTGTCTTGTATCAACCTTGTCAAGTTATGCAATAATGAGCTCCACGACAGTCCCGATTTGCTGGTAAAACGTGTCATTTTCAGTCGCTAGGCCACAAGTTACCCCACCTTAAATGATTGCACAAGTTACACAATAATTTATTGTGCAAGTTGCTGACTTACGCACCACCCGACTTTCGTGAAATGTGTCACGAGCATAGTGAATTGTTGCGCAGCGTGGAATGTTGCGCAACTTAGGTAATAAATAGTGGCGCAAGCAGAGTTGCGCCATTGCGTAAGGCCTTTTTGCTAGGATGTGGCCTCAATCCTGCAAAATCCTCCAATTGGCCTCATGGAAAAATAGCATATATAGCCTCAATCCTGCAAATTTCTCCATTATTTCTTGAATATGGTCCGTGGAGAGGTGACCACTGCCTGAATCCTGCAAAATCCTCCGGCTATGTCTGTCAATAGGCTGAGGCAGAGGCAGTGACATCCTGGAGCAGTGCGGAGGATGTCAAGTACAATCAAGGACTTAATTTATGCTAGGCTGAGCATAAACAACACAAGGTCCGACCCAAGACCTTGACACAGTGCGTCCTCCGAAATCAGCAACGCACTTTTGCCATGTAATCTCAATCCTGCAAATTCCTCCAATTTGCAAAAAGGATTTTGGAGGATTAGGGATGGTTAGGGTTAATATTGATGGAGTATGATGGACTTGGGCCTAATGGCCTGAAGCAGTGCTAATGGTATCTGATTAAATTTGCCTAGCTTCCTGTACTGCTATTGTGACAGAGATGCCACCTGTCCGGTTTAAGCCAGAATTGTTTTTTTTTTTTTCTCACAAAATTCTGGGTTTTACCGACCATCAAAATAAACCGGAAAAAGAGAAGAAAAACAGGTGGAAATGCATTGATTTTTACCTCGTTAGCGCTCTCGAGTTTAGTACATGGAGGCCTACATAAGGATTGCGCACACGCGGCACAATGTTGTTCGCTGAAGAAGTCTTAAAAACAAGTCTTTGTTGTTGCCGAGCCTGCATGCGATTCAGGCGGCTAACGTACTTGCGTTTTTAAAGGTTTTTACATTTTGCTCTGAATATTGACTTCACACTGGGAGGGTTAGAGTATCACATCGTAACTTCCTCATTAGAAATCCAAAATGTTGGTATCTTTCCAGGACTTTGGAGGACTACATGACCGATGAGGTGTCTTACGTGATAACCAACTCACAGTGGGATGCAAACTTTGACAAGGTAGGGGAAGCTGTTACAGGACACTAAAATGCCCGTTTTTTTTTTAGCAATTGAGGACGTTTTGAAGATGCCCTTGTGGTATGAACAAAAACAAGTGCGAGTGCGCAATATTAAAGAGGTTGTGGAATGCTCGAAGACTTTTGAGAGCTATTTTTCAGGTCCTGTTTCGACCCGAACGCGCAACTTGTGTAAAAGTCGTCGTTGCGGGCAGCAAACAAAACACAGTAAATCGTGACGTAATAAACAGGACTCGTTTATGCTACTCTGCATCGGGAGTCCTGTTTATTACGTCACGATTTATTGTGTTTTGTTTGCTGCCCGCAATGACGACTTTTACACAAATTGCACGTTCGGGTCGAAACAGGCATGACAGGACTTGAAAAACAGCTCTCAAAAGGACCCTTTGTACTCATTTCATGACAGAAACAATAGTTGTTTTTATTTCATCACACCTTAGGCTACATATACCTGAAAAATGACGGAAATGTCTTTGAGCATTCCACAACCTCTTTAAGCTCTGGCCTCCTTGCTTGACATAAACAAGATGTTTCTATTGCTTACAAAATAGGGCCTTTAAATAATCTCCCACATAGATTGAAAAACAGAAATTGTTGTGACCTGGTAAAGATCGATAAATTATGTGTGCAGAAGGATTTTAATTTTTGACAATATTTTTTTGTGAAATTATTAAATTGCTAATGATTGCTGAATAATGTTTGAAATATTCCCAAGTTCCATTGACTATTACAGGAGTTAGAACTGAAAGAGTAGTTCATTATTTGCATCATGTGCATGTACTATAGTAGACATCAACTGAAGGTTGATGAACAAATACATGGAACAATTTTGCTGCCAAATTTATGTATGTGAATTGTGTTTTTTTACACACTCGGTTTTATGGTTATATCAGTGGCGGTTCTACGGGGGGTGGGGGGGGGGGGGCTAGGGGGGGATTTTGTCTAGCTCCCTCCCAAAAAATTCCATTAAAAAAAAAAAAGGCACTAGCAAAATGTAAGAGTTTGACGTACATTGGAACAGTCTTCCCATGAATGAGAAGGGTGCATTTGTACACTTTGAGTTAATATAGTGTGCCTGATTGTAGGATTTTATCATCGCATGGCACGAGGCACAAGCCTCCCCCGACCTATTGATTTTCAGAGGCCTAAGTGTCCGGAGAAAATAACCGATGTACATTTTAGCACGCCTCCCTGAAAAAAATCTTGATCCACATTGCTAGCCCCCCAAAAAGTATTGGCTCTAGAACCGCGCCTGGGTTATATGGGTTAATGTATGATTCAATTTTGATTATTTTATTCTTGCCCCCCACAGGCTTTGTCAGATCACCCCGGGTTGTCGTTTGTCCGTCCCAAATGGATCTACGTCTGCTCTGAGAAATCCAAGATGGTGCCTTACCAACCCTACATAGTGGTGCCGAGTTGAAAAAAGGAAGATTTGATAACAAAAAGTTTAATAATCAGTTTTGTACTGAAATAGTTTTAACAAGGTCAGCGCGCCCTCAATTGACATATTTTTTTGGAAGGGGGTTCATTATACAGTCAGGTTTCGAAAAACAGATACAATAATGAGTATTTTCATAGAGATAATGTTGTACTATTTTATAACATTCAAAGTCTGAAAGAAACATTTCAGAGGGTTTTCCTTTTTTTCTGTGCCAACCGTGACCTTAGAGGATAATGATATCGGAGCATATACATGTACATCATATGGGACCTGCTTACCATAACCAAGCCTCTTTATTAGACCATTGCATTTTGTGCTTGTGTACACTCCTTAAGCCCGTTTAATACTTCATGCGAATGCGAAAGTAAAGCGAATTTGACGTCACAAAGTATTCGCTGCGAAATTCGTCGGAGGTGAAATATGTTCAACTTTTACAAATTCGCAGCGCGAATACTCCTCATGATGTCACAAGTTCGTGTTCGATTTTGCTTTCGCGCCGAGTATGAACCGGGCTTTAGGCCTTTTACAAAAAACGTGACACACAGACATCAGACACACAGACAACAGACAGACAGCTTAGGATCTTTTGATATAGGATAGGATGCAAACTCGCAAGCTGCAGTTTAGAAGGGCCCAAGTAATATGGGGGCAGTTGATGAGTGCAGCTGTAAGAATAATTTCACGAGATGACGGATGGAATTGTTCCATTCCACGAGGTGAAGCCGAGTGGAATGGAACATTCCATCTGTCACCGAATCAAATTACTCGCGAATGTCAAACATTCCGTTTTTTAAATTCAAACAGCAGCTGAATAAATCCTGGTACTTGACCTGATTGGTAACTTGTAAACTGGTACATGGGCGTCGCCAGGATTTTTTCTAGAGGGGGGCCAAAATTTGTTTTGCCAAAAAATGCTTGTATTTCTCAACACATTCTCAATTTATCAGTTTTGGAGGGGGGCAGGGACATTTTGCCCCCCCCCAACTCCTTTAATTTACACCATTTTGTTTTCGCGCTTTTTTTTTTTTTGCTTTTCGGGGGGGGGGGGGGCGGCAAGTGCCCCCCCTTGCCCCCCCCCCTCGCGACGCCCATGAACTGGTACTCTGATTGCACAGCATCAGAGCTGTGTTATAGCGCAACCGATATGTGACCGTGCATGGCAGTTCTATTTACCGTAGAATGGAACTTCTATTTTTGCCATGCCGTTCGGCCGTTTATTTGGACGAATACTTCAATGACGTGATCAACGATCCACCAATCAGATGACTGTGATTGATTCAGGCGTTGTATAATACAGTAGATTATTTTTAAAGTGCATCATGTGAATACCAAGCCTATAGGATATCATGAATTGATTGGAATGAAATTCACCAAAGTCAGAAATTTTGTTGAGTGAACTGTTTTAAACGGTACACGCAAACTCGGTTGTTAAGTTTGAAACTTTACATTTTACGTGGTGAATTGGGAAAGAATGTAGTATCCAGACGCCACGTCTTTGGTTGAACAAAGTCTTTTGGAGAGTTGAGTGCATTTTCAAAATTGGAACGTTTTCAGTCCCAGATGTATGTCTTTTCAACATATTTTGCAACAATTGACCTTCATTGAGATAATACATGATGAAAAATGTAGCGTCAGGATGCAACATTTTTGTCCTTGATTTGGATGGAATTTGACCACAAAACCATGTTTTCAAAGTTCAAACCACGAATACAGTATTTCAGCAACTACACTGTATTGTAGCGTAGACAGACCACAAGAAAACAAAACAGTCGCAATGTTGAATCAATTTTTGCTGCAGTAACAATATTAAGTTTCAATTAGTAAATTAACAAAATAAATAATTACGTTTCCTACAACTTAGCAAAGTTGAGACTGTTTGCTATTGTTTGGTTCCAATTACATGCTCATGAACAGGTGCATGCCAGCTAGACTGGTTCCCTTACCTTACAATTTTCAGGCATATCTATAAATTGATTCATTTCATCTTTAGTGGAGTCAGGGAACCAGACTACTTGAACATTTTTTGGTTTATATTTTTTTCCCCAGCATTTTCGAACACAAAACTTCAAACATGTCAGTGTAAACATTATACCCTCAAATACGTAATTTCTGAAAATTACAGCAAAAGCCAATAATGTACATTCCCTTTCAATAAAAATGAATGGAGGCAATAACTTACATTTGTACTTCAGTTTGACGTACATGTGCACTCTCCAAACTCAAGGATGCCAAGAGCCACGCCCTCCATAATATAGATGTGCTTTCCACGCACTCAGCTGCTGGACTCAGCCTGACATTCCTGGCACCTACAGTTTTGACTGGGCTGACACCCAGAGCTAGAACTTAGACAATGGGGATCATGCAATTTCAACATGACTAACATATACTAGAGATTAAAGTATGGGTATCTGGGTAAAGGCTATGGGTATCTGGCCATATGGGTTAAAGCTATGGGTATCTGGGTGAAGGCTATAATTCACAATCAAAAGGTATTGTAAAAGGATGGTGACTGGCTGGATTAGTCCACATTTTCCTCAGAGGGGGGATCGGAAGCCATGCGCACACATTTGACTTGTTAAGGCTATGGGTATCTGGGTTAAGGCTATGGTATCTGGGTTAAGGCTATGGGTATCTGGGTTAAGGCTATGGGTATCTGGGTTAAGGCTATGGGTATCTGGGTTAAGGCTTATTCACAATAGAAAGAATATTGTAAAAGGATAGTGACTGGCTGGATTAGTCCACATTTTCCTCAGAGGGGGGATCGGAAGCCATGCGCACACATTTGACTTAAGGCTATGGGTATCTGGGTTAAGGCTATGGGTATCTGGGTTAAGGCTGTGGGTATCTGGGTTAAGGCTTATTCACAATAGAAAGGATATTGTAAAAGGATAGTGACTGGCTGGATGAGTCCACATTTTCCTCAGAGGGGGGATCGGAAGCCATGCGCACATATTTGACTTGTTAAGGCTTTGGGTATCTGGGTTAAGGCTATGGGTATCTGGGTTAAGGCTTATTCACAATAGAAAGGATATTGTAAAAGGATAGTGACGTACTGGCTGGACTAGTCCACATTTTCCTCAGAGGGGGGGGGGGGAGCCATGGCTAGACTTGTTACGGCTATATGGGTATCTGGGTATAAGGCTATGGGTATCTGGGTTAAGGCTTATTCACAAAGGCTATTGTAAAAGGGTGGTGACTGGCTGGACTAGCACACATTTTCCTCAGAGGGGGGAAGCCATGGCTAGACTTGTTAAGGCTATGGGTATCTGGGTTAAGGCTAATTCACAATAGAAAGGATATTGTAAAAGGGTCTTGATTGGCCGGACTAGTCCACATCATCCTCAGAGGGGGAAAGCCATGGCTAGACTATACCATTTATGTACGGGGCCCCGGTTTTCACTACATTGTTTAGCAGATGGGGAGAAAGGAAGCCACACCTTTTTCTGACATTCAGGTTTTCAAGAATTCAACAGTTTCACTTTTTAATATAAAGTAGTTCATTACATGGTCTACAAAAATAAAATCAGTGAAATTAATCTCGCCAAAGTTTTATTTCACAATTGCCATAAATAGAGCCATTTAATGTCACATACAAGTACTTAACAATCATTTGACATTATTAAATAAACATGAATGAACAATAATTTACTTTCAAATATGGAAATGGCTATTGATTCGTAAATTTCAATAAAACTTTTCAGTTTTTTTTAATCCAAGCTTAATAAGTACATGTGTACAGGTAAGCAAAATCACATTTTTTCTGTACATGTACTCGTGTAGGTGGCCCCTGAACATGGATTTTACCTATAACCCAGTGTAGCAGAATAATTAACCATGCCCGTACGCATGTAAAATGGTCATCCATAAATTTAGGGGCCAATTCCTTCAGGACCCTGTTACATCTCGTCACCGACACCATGAAATAACACCCAAGTCCAATTCAGTGTTACTTCATGAAAACCACAAAAATGACAAAGTGAATTCGTAAATTAAGAATCCACACTTGCGAGTGTATTCTTCGACTTAAACCATTGCGTCAACAGAAGTATTGGAAAGAATGCTGCAACCTGACGCCACTTTTTTTCTTCATATATCATCTTAATGAAGGCCATTCGTTGCAAAAATGATGATAAGACATCAATCTGGGACTGATAAATGTTTCCAAAATTGTTAGGAAATACTTAAAATGACTCTCCATAGACGTTGTACACAAGAGCGGAAGTGGCGTCAGGTTGCAACATTGTTTCTTAGAGTGTTTAGCATGTGTTTCGACACACCCGTACAAGATTTCTTTCTGACTAAAAGTCGATTTTGCAGTGACGGCGGAAAATCTGACAGTGAAGATGCATTGGTAATTTTCGGAAAGCAAATTTTCACACAGACGGTCCTATTCATGTTCATTATGGAGAACAATAATTATTGTCCGACATGTTCAAAGTGTGGATTCGTAATTCCGAATCCACACTTTACTGGAGATTCATAGATCCGAATCCACACTTTTAACAATAGTGTGACGTCATAGCAATGGTTTAAGCGCACAGTGTGTATGAAAGTTACTTCGTGGAAACGAAAATCAGTCGGTTCTGTAAAATACGCGCGCGTAGCGAGCACTCAAGTCCACTTGGGCGTTACTTCATGGTGTCACTTTGTGATGTCACTGACGATCTGATACTTGTATAAGATTTTAGTAAATTCAGTACATTCTTTAATGCTTTCAATCTCCAAGATTGATTACATAACAGTAGTACATGTACATGTACCTGCCAAACAAACCAAAAATAGTTTGAAGTCAAGTTTGATGATACCGTGCCTGCATGGCAAATTACACAGGTCAGGCGTAACAGGGACACAAAAAAGTCACACTTTTGGACCCAATTTGTATGGAATGACCCATATATGAACATTTGACAATTTATTTGTTGTACATTCATTACAATCTACGTGGTCATGTTTAAAAATAAAATCAGGATTGGTCGATGATTGACCTTAAATATATCATAAGTAAAATTTAATTTTTTGTACACTCTGTTTTTGAATTGTACAGAAAGGTAATAAAGAAATCAAATTTACAATCAACACTGTGTCGTGATTTTTAAACATATAACTATGATTAACACATTAACACTTGTACTAGATTGTCAGTTACATTGTGTTTATTGAATGAAAAATCAATAAAACCATAGAGTGCTCGGGTAGTTTCGGGCGTTACAGTGAGTAAGTAATAGGCAGGACTTATTGCGTTGTGGTTGGTCATTTTTTTCCAACAAGACAAGCTTCCAGGATCCTCCAATTCTAAATAAAAAGGCCGGATATGAAATGGTGCTATCTTTTTTCAAAAAGTTATCTTTGCTGTAAAGTACAAGTTAGTTAAGAAATGGCTTCACGAAGAGCGAGCTACACGGCTGAGTTCAAGCTTATAGCGGTTAAGTACGCCGAACAACACGGCAATCGGGCAGCTGGGCGGGAGCACGGCGTAGATGAATCCATGGTGCGAAAGTGGAGAAGGAGTAGAACGGCATTGGAAAAAACACCGCGGAACAAGAGGGCCAACCGGATCGGCATAACCAAGTTCCCTGACCTGGAGACACAGTTGGCACAGTTTGTCAAAGATCGGAGAAACGGTGGGAGGGCCGTAACCACTGTAATGATTAGACGGCAGGCCAGGCACTTTGCCAAGGAGCGGGGTTTGGTGGACTTTGTCGGTGGCCCGAGTTGGTGCCATCGCTTCATGAAACGGGCTGGTCTTTCCATCCGGACCCGCACTACCGTGGGGCAGAAAACTCCAGATGACTGGGAGGAGAAAATGACCAGCTTCAACCTCTTCACCGACCGCCATATCAAGCGACTCAATCTCAGCGATGACAAGATCATCAACATGGACGAGGTGCCGATGACTTTCGACGCCCCGATGACACGGACAGCAA